AGCTCCAAAACAACCGACCACAAGTGAATCATTTCTTTCAAATCTATATTACACCTCTCAAACGTTTTCACCTGGTAAAACAACATCTGCTTCTAAAAACGATAAAAAATAATGTGTGAAAATTTATATTATGACGAAGTAAAATTTGCGTGGTCAATGAACCGAACCATATATAAAATTAACAAGACATAGAGAGCATTTAATCAGTGCATGAACTCAACCATGTTATATACATACACATGTGTTCGAGTCACGCGTTCGTTGGTACTTTGGAAAGAAGGGAATCCTCAAATTGACCTTAATTTTACTGTAGGTATTTATCATTACGCCAGTTTTTATGTTGCTCATAAAACAAGATGTGTTATAATCGTAAAACCCCTCAGAGGGTGGGGCTTGTGCGCGAGTAAGCATGTTCGCGCATATTATCATATCTCCTATTTGACGTGAACAAAGGATGAATGGAAACAATTTTTTTTGACGAAATATAAAATGAAAATTTGCCCTAATCGCTTATTTTATTAACCGAGACACAAAAGTCTGCCATCACTAGAAAACGACTCGCAACAGCAAAAACGTCCTAAGCAAAACAAATTACTCCACCAGCTCTGTACTTGAAGTGAACGAAAATAAAATATGGTCATCTTATTTACCAAGCATGGCGCGTTAAAATATTAAAATTATCGCAAATACAAGGGGGAAATCTAAATATCTAAAAAACTGTTTTGCGCTAATTTCGCCACCGTCTAACCCTTTCGAGTCGTTAAAACCGATCATGAGAAAAAGAAATCGTTTTCGCCACAAGAAAATGCGATCTCGTCATGCGTCAAAAAATATTATATACATGGAAAAAACAAACCGATCATATTCCGAAAAAAATCCATGCAAATTTGCATTTGGTTTTTCATTGTCTTGTGTTTCAATTCGATCGAAGGATTTAACGCTTAATTCTAGAGCATAGCAAAGCAGCACGCGTCAATGTTTGGATCACAGGAAGCTTGATCGTGCGAACAATCTCAAGAAGGCAACGAGGTACTGCTATGATGCTCACCGACAAAACAACAACAAAGCCGAGACAAGTAGAGCCTTATCTGAATCATTCAAGTGCCAAAGAATAATTTCACAATCAATTCCTCGCCGAAATGTCTACCTTGCGTTAACAATACTCTTACCTAAAGTTCCTAGAGAGTTTGAACCGAGATACGAATTAGTAAAACCAGCTCCCTTACGGGAAATAAAGTCGCCCTCCACATCTTCGATCGTGCTGTATACACCGTGACTATCCGTGTGATATGCCTGGAAAGTACAGAATAAAAATATTAAAACAGAATAAAAATCGGCGAAATTAAAAAGGTCATATGAAGTATATTTATTCAGTCGTTCAGGTTTTGCTCAGTGAAGTGTTAAAAATGCCGAACTAAATGGAAAACAACATTTCAACGGGCATGGCTTCGCTAACATACAAGTCTATAAGGGCCACTTGTTAGTAAAATATTTTGCATCTTTATAAAGTAACAAATTATCGCTCGAAAATATAGAGTTTCCGTTCAGGCACGTGCTACATTAGTGGTTCTAATTTTGCACAAATGTTCCTGTTGACATTTGTAGCGAATTTTACAGAACTTTTGTTTTGGAGATTTGTTTTAATTTTCAAGCGCATAAAGCATCATAAGTTTAACTGTATTCACAGCTTACCCGAGCTTCGTAGGCCGACACAGAACTGCCTTGCCACGTGGGTGTCTCGTCTAAAGAACCTACAAAAGAAAAAATAAAAGTAAGCCAGCAGAGGAAATATTTTTATGTCTTGGAAGCAGAGAAGCATGTGGGTTGGAATCAAGAACCGGTGTGATGTACTCTAGTGTGAGTAGCAGGTTCTGTGAGGTCCATACAGAAAGTTTAATTCATGGCGAACGGCATACAAACAAAACGCAAACGGCACCTGTTCTAGATGCGTGCATGGAACTCGATAACCCAGCTTCCGTCAGAGAGCCACTAGATTTACTGCCGACCATGGATCCCGGCGGCGAGAACATCTGAGCAAAAAAAAATTGCCAACACACAAAGCAAACACGATCGTTAATAAACTGCAGCCAACGGCGCTCGCTAATCGCAACATCAAGAGAAGTTGCGAATGCAAGTGTGTCAGAAATTTTTCCAAGTTGTACTAACCGCGCTGAAGTCTAGTAGATCGCTCAGTTCCTTATCTCCCGCGTGCGGATTCATTCGTCAAAATCTCCCAGTGTCTAGCGTGCAGTCCGTTGAAGAAATCGCAGCGACTTTTGTGAATGCACGCAGGCTTGAGCGAGTCGATTTTGAATAATAAGCTGAACCACACAAAAAATCCTCAAAACTGCAAGCTTGCTCCGTAACAAAGGCAACGCGTATAACTTTCCCTCGATCGTTATACCGAGCTGACAAACCGCACTCTGCCAAATAATTCGCGATTTTTTAACGGTTTTCCATGCGCCTTCAGCGCGGGGGGAATTTCCGCGAACACAACTCAACAACTAGCTTTACAAATTTCCTCTAATTCGCGTGGCTTCGTTTTCTCCATATTCCCAAGTTTAACCGGCCCAACTCTCCGGGGAGGGGACTAAAAATAATAATTGACAGCTCATTGTTGCTTTCATCATGGCAATTATTAGTCTTGACAGATCCAATTATGTTCGGACCAATCGCACGTGTTGTTAGAAACTCAACTATTACCATGTGACCACTACACGTGATTACAAAACCCAAACAACATTTTCGGCGTTTGTGATTGGCTGATCTATGACGTTATTGAGTTAAACTTTTTCCCTGTTTGGGATGCAGAAAGAATATTAGTGCAAAAATGATTTAATATGAACAACAAAAAATCTATTCTTATAATTTTAAAAAAGGAGATCGGAAAAAAGTTTTTTTTTTCCACGAGTAATTAATTTAAGTTGCAACGGTGTTATTAACATTATTCTTAGGTCCAACGCTATAAATTTTTGTTCATGAACAGGAAATATTAAATTTGTTATTTCCGGTTCTCGTTAGCGACATAAAATTTATGTGGGTACGTCTTTGTGAAACGCTCCAAACAATGATGCACGAGTTAAATTACTCCCTCGCTTTCCTTCGATTATTTTAAACAATTGTTACGCTATGGTTCCTTACGATTTTCATGGTAGTGTCACATGTAATCCTATTGTTTAGTTCCGCTTACACTTGCCCGAGTGGGATTAAGGTGCGATCTTTTAATCTTTCTTAAAGTAAAGAAATGCTCTTTTGGCAACCTCGTTTTTGAGTCGTTCACATAAGAGTCGTTTGAAAGTTCTGGAAATTTGCATATCCACGGTAAACTTTTCTCAAAATTTGCATAATGTTGACAAGCTAAAAGGAAACGTGAATTAAATGTGATTCATACAATTCACACAAAAACACGCATTTCTCTTAGTCGATTTTGAGCAGAGAAATTTTTGTTCCGATTCCAGTTTTTGTGGGCTTTTTTGAAGTTTAAATTTGTCCCTACGTCACTTTTCGCGACAATTACGTGACATCACAACAACGATGGTTTGCTTTCGCATCATGTCTTAGCTAACACAAGTAGCTTTTGACCCAAACTACTTAGTGAATATCCTCCTAGCCAACCAAACGTTCAAATATCGTGCGTTTGTTTCAATCAATAACAAATCACAAGAAGAGGCACTTCGAATCATGAACTTGCAGTGCTCAACCCATCACGCGTAGGATGTAACAAGATGGGCATAATTTGCCATTTGTTTACGATTCACTGTACAATAAACACTACCCTAAGTTCGACTTCAGTACGAAGCTCGTAACACGTTCACGAAATGATGTATAAAGTTGTTTCTTAAGCTTTTGCCTTTGGGATGTATCTATAAATACAAAGTTATTTCAAGTCTTCCTTGTATCCCAGAATGTCCCTTCGAACAGTTAGCTTTTGTGTTTGGGATATACATATATATGAAATAAAGTTATTTCAAGTCTTCCTTACGTCCCAGAATGTCCCTTCGAACAGTTATTTCAGGAAGATACGAGAGAAATACGCAATTATGAAGATGACGTTTATTAATTTTTTAAATAGCACCCCATGACTGATGTGGCGTTGGTAGGAGATTTTATAGAACTTAAAAAATTCCTTTTATAGAAGTTTTCAATACCGAATGGGCTGATCTTTGAACAAGTTCATATTATCAGCGTTCCTCATATAAATTTGATGTAAGTTTTATGATCATTTGAATAAAGCGGATGTAAATCCTCTGATCTATACAATTTTTGGCCTAATTCTGCCTAACGCCGCCATGATTTTCCCTTTCAATTGCGTTTAAGAATAACTTTATCCTTTTTTGCAATCGCGGTTCACAGTGGATGGTTGATGTTTGTCCCTACTATTTAGAAAGCAAAGGAGATTGAGTTAATGCGCATGTCGTGGACACCTTACGTGGTTTTGAAACATAACAATTCATTAAAAACGGAAGAAAAATAAAACATACCCGCCATGCCCTTCCACGATCTACTGTGTGAAGTTCGTTCGAGATCCAAGGACCGAACTTTGCCGAATTCGGGACGAAACTTCCAAAAGATTCCCGATTCATGGCATTTTCGAAATAGCAAATTATCCGTCCTTTTTCCTCTTTGTTCGCAAAATGGGTGCTTTTAAAGGCCAAACCAGCGCTTAAAAATGATGGAGCAGTGGGTTAGCTCCGTATAAATAAAAGTTTGCGGCTCGATATAAGATAAAACTCTACTGGTGAAATACTTTACAATAGAGTTGCCTAGCGTATACAAATGTCTGTAGCAAATTTAGTTCTTTAGTTCTTTATTTGGCAGATAGGTGTGGAAGCCCACAGAGAATTGTTATCTTGTCAAAAATAGTTCACTAACGAGCTAAATTCTTTTGACAAATGTTCTGGCGTGGTAGGATGATTTCTAGACCGCAGCTTTCCGTGCTTCATTAAGAAAAAATGGGAAGAGGAAGTATCACGTACGCTCTTTTTTTTTCTTTTACACAGATGTCGAGCAGAGATTTCGCCCTGAAGACTCAAGAACGACAGGCTAATTCCGTGGTAAAATACTAGGAGAAGTCTTTTCGCCTTGTTGTGCGCTTTCAAGAACTTCGCGAAAATTACTTTCACAATAATAATAGAAGACATTGGAAGTTGTCTCCTTCAACAAACTTACATTTGTGCAGAATGCTCTTCTTAAGCCCTCCCCTCCCTTCCGAATTATTTTTTTTCTCTCTAAAAAACTTCAAAATAGATACTTTCAGGGAAGAAAATCAGACGATTTTAATAAAGAGGTGAAGTTATGTAGACAAGATTCGGCCACCTAATATGAAAGGAAACTTTTGACGTCACTCAGTGTTTAAGAAAACCTGCCTTTAGGATTTATGTTGTGACTTTGCACAAGACGAAACATCGTTTTCAAATTAATTTTTTAATGATTACCATTCTGGATGAATACGTTCAATTATTGATTCATTCTTACCACATCGTTCTAAAAATGGAACTTATCCCTCCTGGTTCTTTTCACGATCGTTCTTGATCCATTTTTTGTCAGTGGAAAAAAGACTGGTCACACCTCTGCTTTCCGAAATGGACTGTGAAACTGACTGGTAAGCAAGGGAACGAATTGTGGTTGAATGTGACTGAAATATCGAATTCTCAGGTTTAGATCCCACGATAGTTGGTAGTTTCCGCTGCCTGTATAAACACTGTGGGAAGTGGATTGAATTTTATCCTTTCTCATATATTCTTTTCCGTTATTTATTTGAAGACGGAAGACAGCTACTCTCTGCTGGTTGATTGAGAGAAGGCTGCGTCCTCGACTTTTCCTAAATTATTATGATTTTAGAAGGCCAAGAGAATGAATTGAAAAGTGGCCGAAGATTCAAAACAATTGGGCAGTGCAAGGCTCGGAACAAACTCGGAGACAACGGAAGCTGCTAAGAAACGCTCTTAGAAACAATACCTGGACTCGCCTACTTTAAAATATATTTCGATCCACTCGGTCAATTATCCTTGAGAAAGTATGATAATATTCATTTTTAATCTTGATCTTCAATATCTTGTTTTCGTTATTGACTTCAGTTATTTCCTTTATTCTCATCACGGAAAAAGGAAATAAATTCGGTTAACTTTTATAGCGACTTGCTAATAATTGTTTTCCGGTCTTCGTACCCGAAAGCGGGAAAGTGTAGGACGATATCGCAACACCTCGGTTCCCGGGTTACAAAAAAAGCCCCTTCTTCCCACACTCCGTATGTTTTTTAATAATTTTCTTTCTTTGACGACAATCGTTTAGACGCTTGATAGAGAAAATGACGGCGAGAAATTGATCTCTTGGCATGTGAATCGATAAAATTCATTTCAAATTCGAGTAAGAGTACCTTCTAATCTATTTCAAAAATAAATTTCTTCATTGTGAATGCGGTATGAACATATGGAGCAATCTTCGATTAAATGCAAATGTCCAAGAAATAGTTTTCAATACGCATCTTAAACGGGATTGGTGTATGCTTTATTGATGATTCATGTATATTTTGAAAAAGTGAGAAATGAAAAACTGAAAAATCAAGGGTTCTCAGCATCGGTATTTGATGTAATTACCCTTTTAAACCATAACCCATATTTAAAATCCTTAAATTATTTGACCTGAACTCTTTCACTCCCAAGATCTAATTATGAATTCTCATAACTGTCTACCGTAATATTATATTGATGTTCGTTCGGAGACTTTGGTATTGGATGAACTAACCATCGCCTGATTAATATTTTTCTTTACTCTCATCATTTTTCTGCTTGATATGGTATTGATATTATAAGGAGAAATTCTGTCTTGGTCACTCATGGGAGTTAAAGGGTTAACCGTTATTCCTTGCAAATGAAGTGAAGAGTTTTAAAATACTTAGCAAGGATCGAGCCCGTACACTAATGGAGGAGATTTGACGATAGGTGTTTGACAAAATGATCAACCCTTTGCATAATAAATATTATAGCTAAAAATAATTTAAAAAGCAAATCATGGAAACAAAAGCGAGTCTCCTGTGGTTTAGTTTTTTAAGAATATTAATCGGCGTAGTGATGAATTCATAAGTCATCAAACAAACTTGTCTGTCTGTTCATAGAAACAAACGAACTTGTCTTGTATCTAACTGGCACATAAATATATTCTTTCAAAATCAAATTTAAAAAACGATTGAACCTCATGAACTCAGACTTTGCCTCGTCAATCCTCCATAGAATTGAACTTACCATTTCTTTCCTGAATTCCAACCAGCTGACAGCTTTACTTCAAAAATATTTGTATTGGAGTGGATCGATGTAGAAACTTCGTCTTGCCAATCACGCCACGGTAATGTCGTAAAACAGTTCTAAGACTGTTAATGAGAGATTGTTCATTTCACGTCGCTGTAATCTGTAAAAAAACTTTCCTTTAAAACTTTTTCCATATCAAAAGAAAAACAACAAGTGCTGAACACAAATAACGGCCGGCGCGATGGCGCCTAAATCAACTGGTGCCCAGATCTCTTGTGGGTGTGAGATCGAGTGAGGTGCTTTGGTAGACTAAGGACAAAAAAAAATCAGGGGCCACCGTAATAGAGTACGATAATAAAACTGGCCGTTAAAGTTGCTGGAAGAAAGAACCACTCAGGAACAGGGAGAAATATCAATACCTCTACTATTCATTACCTTTCAATAAGAAAACGGGGTACGGCCTTGGCACATTTGCCCGCTTTGTTCGAGGGTTGGCTGGTACTTTCTTTCGCTATCTACCGATGTTTGTAAAAATGATTCGTGGCTGAAATACGGCGTTTCGTATGGGCCTAGAGACTCATTAAATACCTTTAAGGAAAATTTTATCAAACCTTTTAAGCATCTCGCTCAAACTGCGCCGTCTAAAAAATTCAAGGTGTGCGCAGTCCGGCCATCTGTAGCTAGAGGATTCCAAATCTGTGGTCACAAGTTACATTAATACATAAAGACATTTAAAAACGAATTTTGACCAAGTGAAGATATTCAAAATGGGCAAAACGTGGTTTTGAGCAAAATTTTTTTTACAGAGTGCATTAATTTAAACACTTTTCAGTTGCTTTCCGTAATACACATTCTATTACATTTCGGAACTCCACTTGTATCCAATACATACCCCAATTTTATTTTACCTTTTTTTAGATTGGTAGCCCTATACACAGTTTTCATCGCTAGCGGCTTTCCGCGGGAAAGTGAAGATATTTCAAATTTGAAAAACGTGGTTTTGATCAAAACTGTACTTCAGATGCTTTTCTGTAAAGCACATTCTATTTCATTTCGGAACTCCACTAGTATCCTTTGCAAACCCCAATTTTTTCACATATATTTTAGATTGACAGCCCTATACACAGCCTTCATCGCTAGTGGCTTTCTGCGAGAAGCATTTTTTCACGTCTTTTTTTCACATCTGTACGTGCGCTTAAAACAAGGTATTCCAACGGGGCTATATGGAACAAGTTCCACGAACCCTTCAGTTTGTTACTCGGGGACTCGATCTTACCTCGTACCTCGAAATTGGTATTTCGCTCAAATTACAAATACCTGCTAAATCAATTTGTCCAATGATTACGATTTCTTTGCGCTGGGAATTTATCTGAGTGTACATTGCAGAGGAAGGTATTGCTCAGGTGGGAGGGGGGGGGGGGTTTGGGAAGGCTTCAGGAATTTTTGATAAAAGAGGGGAGAGCGTCCAAACTTTGACACTGAAACGCAGAATTTACTTAATCTTTAACTCTCGGTTAACCCACCACCTCCACCCTCCCAAATAAATGAAATAGAAGGAGGTATTTGAGTAATAAAGTGTGATCCTATCGTTGCAAGAATTTTTGTGTGTCAGTGAAGAAGAAGAAAAAATCCCGCTGCTCCGATGGGGCCGAGGATTCAGACCCCCTTATTCTTCCTATGGATCCGTTACGTTTAGTCGACTCAAATAGTAAAACCAGCATAATAGTAATAGACAACGATAAAAAAAAGAGAGAAAAAAAAAAACGCGTTAGAATTATGCCAAGAAAGTTGTGCAGGGCAGTATTCAGGGATGAACTGATTATTCATTAAACAAGTATTATTTGCCAGCTGATCTTTTAAGACTCAATATCATTTGGGCACTTATCACGCAACGATCAAATTCAAAAGATAGCACGTTCAATAAAATTCAAGGAGAAAACTTAGAAAAAATGAAATATTTCAGTGAACTCTTTACATTACCGAAATTTTTTTACCCCTTCGTTGATGTAATTAAAATTTGATGCGAGCGTCTAAAATTCTAATAAAGAGGAGCGTATTAGCTGTTTTAATAAACATAATTGCGTGTGTAAAAAAGCAGACGCTTTGAACACGCAACCGATTTAAATGGTTAAATGATATACAGCAGAAATGGAAACGCTGAAGTACAGACCATGTAACTATAACAAAAATTTTCATATCGTGAAGAAATTATTGTGAGAACAATTCCCATTGTTTGGCAACAACAATAAGGCACGTGCCGCGATTATTCTCCTGAATTCATGTAATTTTCACGTGAAGTTCGGAGCATAAATTCCTTGTAATTACTTGCGTCGTGGAGTGACATTTTCTTTAAGTCAGCAGCAATGAAAAACCCAATATCCATCATCGCAGGTGGGGCTAATGAAGACATTTTAAAACAATATATTCCGCAAGACGTACATTTCTGACAGTTCATTCTGTTTTACACAGGAAAACTGAAAAACGTGAGTTAGCTTCAAAGAATCAATTAAGACACTTAAAGGTAAAGAAAATTGCGTCAATCCAATGAATAGCCAAACCGCTGTTTGAGAAATAGAGAAAAAAGTTGCTAGCTTTGAGAGCCAGAACACATGTTAGCTTCAAGTTGTATGCCACTTTATTTATTTCGAAAAGATAAATTACCGCCGGTTCTATTTTGTAAAATACAACAAAAGTGTCGTCAAGGCTGAAAGTACCTCGTAATTGTTTTGTTTAATATACGCAAATTACCCATCTTGTGTTGTCGCGTGCCCACCGCCCACGTGTTTTACACGTGGTTTAATGCAAAACTGTTCGTAACAGGTGGACGCGAGATTCATTTCATGAATGCTCTTTTTTAATGAATCTCTGAAATAAATAACTTTACAAAGTTCTTCATCGTCGCGTATTTCAAAATTTGAATGTGATATTAGCGAATGCACGATTAATAAATTTTTACTGATAATTAAGTGTGCTCTTTCCCACGCTTGGCTTTCGTTTAAGTTGGTAGACCCAAATCTAATGTCACGCTTTACGATTTCCGTTCCTACAACAACGCTTTGACATGGCCGATTGTCCGTTTAAAATGCAAATGCTCGTTATGGTTGGGAATTTCGTAACCGCATGCCAACACGACTAGCGTATTTGCGCTGGACAACAGATATATAAATTAAGTACAAACGCGTTTCAGCCAATTAGGGGAATACCATAATACTTGTTGGTTTTAGCGATACTAAATTTATACCTGATAGCTGCCTCTCATTTATTCCTTACGTTTATTTATTCAGCTTTTTTCGAACTTTCCTGTGCACATACTCAAAGCTCAAGATTGCAGAGGGTTAAATAATTACACCCTGATAAGGCCGGTTTTATCATTTTACTATTTCTCAAAATTTAGACCTAGGGGGCCTATGAATTGTAACTTATCGGTTATATACATTAAATCTTTAAACCAGAGTAGCATCAAATCATGTCTGAAGAATCTTCTGTTGACATCAACTTTACTCACGATCGCAACTATTATGTGATAAATTTAATTTTTTTAGTTTTTCTTGAATTCCATGCCCGCATTACAGCACCAGGAGCCAAGACGTACACAGCGATAGCATAGTTATAGTGGCTTGCTGTTTAATATAAATGTAAAAAAGGTAGTTCTGAGGATCTCTTATTTCTGCTGTTAGGACTATGGTGTAAAGTTCAGCGGGGTTAAACGGGTTCATATGTAAAGATGTTTGCATTAAAGTATCTCAGTGTTCACCGTTCCTCTCGTGAAGAAAAGTTATCTTAATTCTATTAAATATATCCTGTTCGATATATTCAGCAACTGTGCAAATTACGCCAGTTACCTTTTTTTAGACTCGTCACAACAGAAGATATCGCCATTAACTCATGAGGAAATGCGGAGGTAAGCAGGATCCTTGTTGTCTGGTGAACAAAAGTTGTCTAAATTCTATCATCCTGTTCAATATGTTCAGCAGCTGTGCAAAATTACGCCAGTCACCTTTTTTAGACTCGTCACAATTGAAGACATCGCCATTAACTTATGAGGAAATGCGGGGGTAAGCAGGGTCCTTGTTGTCTAGTTCCCAAAATTATAACCCGCTACGGTCTTCCGTTTTGTTTTGATAACTCGGTGGGAGCTGGTGAGACGTCAGTTATGACTCCTATGTGAATACACCGTGAGGACCTGGGAGAAATCCCAGGAACTGAGAAAGACTGCGTGGGTGGCAGTAGTCGGATGAAGTTATGAGCCGAGACAAAGGACTGATAAAAATAAAATATATGACCATCGTAAAAGAGAGGCTAATGCTCATCGCGGTAATAAGTAATGATAAACTGTGGTTTATCAGAGCCTCTTCGCCGTTACCTACAACAAGGCATCCGCGCAGTCTTTAAGTCCGACACGACACTTAGATCGCATTTAGGGCGACCAGAGGAACCCTGTCAATCCAGCTAGACAGGACAGCGCGGTTTACAGGATTCCCTGTGAATGCGGCAAGATCTACATTAGTGAAATGAGAAGATCTATGCAAGAGAAGATGAAAGAACACTAGAGGCAAATATGTTTAGCCCGTACATAGACATCCACCGTTTCTAAGCGCGCCAACCGGCCACCGCCCGCTTTGGAATAAAGTTAAGTTTATTGATCGAGACTCGCACTGGTACATGCACCCGAGAGTCAAGGAAGCTATCCACATAAGACAAATATCTGACCATATATGTAATAAAGTGATTCTTAGTCTCTCTCTTCTTCAATTTTCACACCTCGGTGGTTTCACACACTTCTTGCGCGCCACATGGCCTTGAAAGTAACTCTGTTGCTGAGTAGATTTGGGAAAATCAATCATCGATGCACTCGACTTTGGTGAAAAAGCAGTGTCTGTGTCAAAACGGACGTTTTTGGTTTAAAATGATTGGGCCATGAAAGTTTTCAAGAGTCTCCTAAGTACATGTAGCCGCGAATGTGGCCTGCAATGCAGTTGCGTATTAGACGAGGGCACATAATTTATTTGCGTCCACAAACAGAGACTTAAAATCATATATTTAGAACTGCTACTCGCCCGACATCATTAAAATAAAGCTATCTTTGCAAAAAAAAAAAAACAAACAAAAAAAAAACAACACGACACGTGTCACCCACGCCAAAGCAGAATGGTGACGATAGATCATTGGTGCTAAAGAAACTGTGGTGCTGCGTCGGTGGAAGAACATAGTAACAGGGTAATTTGTTATTGTCAACCGAGTTGATAGCGTAAATGGAATTGGCCACAGTAAAGAGCTTCAAAACTGACGTTTCGAGCGTTTGCCCTTCGTCATCGCTCTGAAGAAGGGCTAACGCTCGAACTTTCAGCCTCGAAACTCTTTATGGTGACCAATTAACGTTATCAACTCAGCTGGTAGTGCCAAATATGACAACAGTTCGCAAACAGCAGGGAAAAGAAGGGATTTTTAAGTTATGTATATCTTTTTCTTAAAAAGAAAAATACTATGACTTTACGGTAGCGTATCGAGTGGTATATCAATCACTCAGATCGCTGCCTCGGGGTATGTATCTCGCTCCAAGCATATCACAGCGTAAGGGTATGCTTTTACCAATCAGAGCGTAAAGGACTTATTTTTCTTGCCAATTATGCCTCGGAATTAGCTAAGGTGCTGCAAAATGTTGTAATGTAATCAACCCAACACTGACGCGCACAAGTTAAGATATAAACAAAGGAATTGTGAGCTCATCTACCCAGTTTAATATTTTATTTCCTTCATGAGGACCTTGTCGCTTTGATCTTTCGAGGCTAGAGAAATTGGCAGAGAATTCTTCTGCCACTTAAAAGTTAGAACGTGTATTGTGTAGTTTCTTCTCTTACAACACATACACCGTCAGTTAAGGCCTAACAAAATTATCACTGGAGCTTTTGGTTTGAGGGGCTAGTTTTGCCAACTGTGGGAAAAATTACGCGAAGCATTTGCTTAAGGCGTATTTGACAAGGATAATCTTGCTTTTACCTTGTGGTTTCTCTTTTGGTGAAGACTGAAAAGATCAGCAATTTTTATTTAATTTCTACTTCGAATACCATGTTGCATATCGGTTTCTTTACTTTTAGAAAGTTCTCCCTGATCTCGTGTCATTAGTTCGAATTTTTTAGTTGTTGCCGTGACGCTGACATTCAAAATCTGCCCAAAAATTTAACAACTAAACTTTTCCTGGCAGAATAATCAAGTAAATGTAGTTACGATGTCATAAACAGTAGAATTCAATTCTACCTTAAAAGTAGAGAATTTTACCATTTGAATCAGCGAACTGTTTCTAACAGAAGAAAAGAAATGATATTTTCAGTAATTGTCGTGACGTTGAAGACTGGCCTAACGCTGACGGCAAACAGGTAACGGCTAATTGATGTTTCACGTTTGCCGTCGTTCTTGCACTGAAGAACGTATTTCTGAGCATAAAGAGAATCGATGGACTGTCAGTGAAAATCGTGTCTTTTTCAAGTTATTTTGCCATAACACTCCCTTGGATGAATCCATTTAAGGAAAAATAGTTAAAGGTTTCGTCGACTCATTTCATTGTGGAAATTTCCAAGTTTCAAAATTCGACATGTGTGCGGTTTTTACCCTATTATGCAACTTTTTGTGTTTCTTTCGGCAGTCACCGGAAAGGTGTAAACTATCCTACCAAAACAAGACTTTGCCCAAGTAATAAATTATTCTTCTTCTTTAAGCACAACCGTAAATTACCAACATCTCGTGTTTTATTTTTTGCAAAATTATATTGTTTATTGTTTACAAAGAACAACGAATAGATATTTCTCAAAGCAACATTTAAAAGGTGTTAAACAGTTTCAGTCTAAAGGTCCGCGTGGAGGGTCAGAAAGCTGATCAAAATCTATAATAGTCGACAAAACTAGGTTGAACATCGACAAGTTTAGCATATTCTACTCTGTATCGACGTCAGTGTCTCCAGAATCATTAACTCTCGGGAGCATTGCTCTCCAGCGAGCTCCCCCAGTTCTTTTGGGCATCGCATTCCCTTTCGATGACGATATGCTTGTATTGTTGTTCTGCGGTCTGGTGACATCACTTACATCTTGTTCCGATACTTCCTCAACTTGGCGTACTCTTTCGTTGATGTCGCCTTGAAACGAAGGCCCAGTTTCATTCGTATTGTGATCGATTGAGTTTCCATGATCATCCCAGATAATTTCATCGGCGTTATTAGCTACATTTCCTGTGGTAGAAGAGGACGCGCCGGCCTGGACGCTTGATACTGATAGAGAATCTTTCGGAGTTTGGGGCACCATATTCCGTAAAGAGGATCGGCGCGTGTTCGGTGCTGGACGAAATTCCCTAACGTTGCGGATTTCCTTGCCGGGTACATAATCGGACTCGTCTTCGTCATCGTCATCATCCTCTGAAGGCGAAGAATACGAATCCGAACTGAGGACAATTTTTTTCTTTTTGGCTTCGCACTCTTGGTTGGAATATCGTTTTACAGGGGTAATCTTTCTTTTATTTTGATGCGTGTTACAAGGTCTATTCTTGGCAGTAGACAATGATAACGATCGAGTCGACTCTTGAAGTGATAGCAACTGAGAAGCTGCAACGACCACATCCTTCGACCGGGACGTTTCCTTGTGCGGCTGAGTGGGTGGGACATTCTTCTTTATAGCAAATCCTTGTCCCAATGAGACCATCTGTTGGCCCGGAGTCGAAAACGACGCCGAAGAGGCCATTCTCACTGCAGCAAGGCCACGTTGTTTACGCCTAAAGGTCAGTATTTTAGGTTTTGTGCTCTGGATCCCCCCTCTGGGAGGAGGATGCCTCTCAGCGAAAACAGGTCCAATTTGAGAAGAACGATTAACTGGAATTCTCGAAAGGAGAGCTGGCCAACAGAATAAAGAGTTGAATCGCGAAGATAGCATTCTGTACTCGTAGGAATTTCGATATGAAGTGTTATTTAAAGGAATGACTGTTTCAGTCTGTTGTCTATTGCTCTGAACAGGTCCGTTGGTCACAACACCGGTTGTGGATGATCCGTTTCCTTTTTCGTTAACTGTCGCCGTTGGTGTAACGACTCTCATTGGTGAAGGACTAGGATTTTCACTTGACAGTGTTTCTTTTTTCCCATTACGATTAAAGCGACTTTGCGCTGCCGCTGTTTCAGTACCCTTTAATAGCTTAGCCTCGTGGCCAACTGATAGAGAGGATTCGTTATTCAATTCTGACACATTGTTCCCTTCTTTATCGAGTGGATTTTCAAGTGATACATCGCGATTGTTCGCGATTTCACCGCTCAAACTGCCCTCGTTATCATCAGTTTTGTTCACTAAATTAGAACGATTCGGTTGATTTGCACCCGTAACCTCGTTTCCACACCCAGATGTCCCACTTGACTCCTCGTTCCCATGACTACCGGATTTGTTTAATGAAGAAGACTGCCCAAAAGTTGATGAGACTGTACTGCTAACTCTGGGAACTGTTTTTAGCATGGCGGCGATTTTCTGCAAATGAGGGCGGAGCAGTTGAAGGGACTTGTAAGTTTTTAGCGTTGTGTAGCACGGGGGAAGAGGAGGAATCGCCGGTGCACGCCTGCGCGCAGCCTGGCTTGCTAGAACAGCAGAACCGGCTGCAGGTGGTTTATTTAAAGCTCCCACTCGATCCGAGCCAGAATGGGCATTTTCACCTGGTCCGGGTGCCTCTTTATTGGTCCTGGTATCTGGAATTTCTTTGCGAAGAGATGATTCCGTATCTGTATTATCAAGTTCAAGGGTATCGCTAATTTCGCTGTGTTTTTCCTTATTAACTCGTGATTCAGTGTCGGTAGATTGTTCAGCCTCTTCGTGATTTTTTGCCACTACTGAGGTTTGTTTGTCTAATGTGGAGATATGCAAGTCAGGATTGAGAGTTTCATCGCCAACGGTTTCCCTTTGCGCCTCCATTCTTTCAACACCACCGCACGTTTGTCCCTGAGGCTGTTCTTCATTTGAATTAACTTCCTTGCTCTCCACAGAGGCGCCAGTGTTAGGGCCAACACTGGTGCTTGTCGATGATACGGAGGATGGAGTCGTGCCGGTCTGCTGAATAGCTTTTAGGACTGTGGCAATGTCGATACTGAACGCCTAGGAACGTTAAAGGAAAAGCTGATGTTACACGATAATATTTTTCCATAATAACATTGGAAAAATTGGCTTGCAGGCCAAACTGTCACAAACAAAAGTATTACAAATTACTTATTTAAAAGTATATTTTATGTGATCATTATCCTCCGTCGTTTGAAACTTTAACAGTCCGACGCAGTTTTCGGCTGAACAGGCATTTCTACCGTTATAAAAATACGTGTGTAAGAGCGACATGTCTTCTCATTGTGATACACTGGCATATTCCTATGGCTACCCTTGTTTTTCTTTATCCGTGAGGCAACAAGTGGTAAGAAAATCTACAACAAAACAACCATGTGTCGAAGTTGCGGAGATTGACCCTTCTACTACCAAAAATCGAATAAACGCTATCAAAATTGGTGCAACACTCTTTACTTGAGAGTTTTGTCTATTCTCATTACCTGTAAACTAGACAATGATTCTGTAGGGAGAAGTTACAAGCTCATCTCGACTGGAAATTAAAAGGGTTGAGCGTGAAAAGCGAAAATAAGGTTTACTTAGCTTTTTCAGAAAGTGAACCTAATCTGTTTATTTCTAGTACAATGTCTGCATACCTGCAGAAGAAGCGAGAATGGCCCTAACGAGCCGGATACCGCCACCTGCTTCTCTCCGCCACTGCTTATCGTGTGACGTTGCTCTTTTTTCTCGGCAACTTGCTTCCGTTTGGACAGCTGTTTGTCGCGCATAAGAACACGGTGATGAGGCTGCTGAACTCGGTTTCTGTTTCCACCCTGTAGGGAAGCAAAACATAGGACAAGAACAAAAAATGTGAGGGGCTACTGTACTTATCATTCAGCCTTCCACGGGTGCAAAATGGGAAGAACGGGAAACAAGTCTCCTTGTGTAATATCCTGCAACGTTCCTCTGTGGGAAAACATATAGAATAACGACCTCCCGAACAGGTAGGAGGGTTACATCGGCTAAGTCTTACGGTTACTGCCGCACCCAGTCGTGGGTTTCTGTAACAGGACACGACTTGCAGTATGGGCATTCCTCTTGGAAGGTAAATGAAAGTGTGTCAACGTTTCCTTTACAACAACTGCTACATAATTCCCTGTCCAAGATGCAGCGTGTTTCTATTAAATTTGCATAGGAGAAGTCTATGTTTTAGCAAGGTATCACCCCTAATTGATAACTTCGTCTTTTTTTGCCAAGTGTTTGGAGGTAATGCTTGGAGAGGTAACTAAATTATAAAGAAATGTATGCCGACTAGAAGCGACAATTGCTAATCTGATACTGAGAATTAAGGCAGAAAAACTATTCAAAACTGGATAAGGACACTGAGAACCAACCGCTTTCCTTGTGCGCGGGAACTTATCCTCTTCACTGCCAGTATTCGCCTCTTTTTGCCCTTCTTTACATTCCTTTCCAGATATTTCTTCCTGAACCTTCATTCTCTCTGCCTCAATTTGGTCGCCACCACCATTAATGGTGGCCTTTTGAGCTCTTTTGCGTTCTTTTTCAGCTTTTTCTTCCTCAGCTCTGATTCTCTCTGCTTCTCGTCTCTCCGCTCGTTTTCTCTCTCTGAATTTTCTCTGAGTCGCTCTTCTCATCGCACGAGCCTCTTCAATGGGACGTGGCGCACGTCCTTTGCGTTTCCTCTACATGCAGATGAAATTATGGTACTGTTTACGTAAATACCACCGACATCACTATTCAACCTTCCCATACCCTAACCGTTAATCTGAACATCGTTAAGATCCGGGTGACCTAAAATGCTTCTGCTCGCAATTCAATCAATCAGCAAGGTTGTTTTTTTTATTTCCCGAGACTTTTCTCCGAAATGTCAATTTGAATCCAATAAAAATTCATTGCCTTTTCCTTGCCTTCGAAGATTCCCCCCTACCATTACTTGTACAATGGCAACCTTACTCATAAACTGGTAATCTTTCCTGAGGTCATGCAAGAAGAGTGTTGACGGTCACGGCAACAAGTGTTCGACGAAACAAGGCGGTCGAAAGTCTGGGCATATACGAACATTAGGACGCGCAAGTGTCCTACGAAGCGGCCCGACATAGCGCGTCCACACTGTACAACCCCACAAATTATGATGTCATGGCAATTTTAAACCGTACTTTTGACGAAGCTCAAGGCAAAATGGTGAACCAAAAGAATAACCGTGAATAAACAACTTTGTCTAAAGAAAGAGCCAAGTTTTGTTTCCAATTCCTTTTATTTCCTTTTGCAGACTTCGATGCACATTTCAAATTCATTTCCTAAATATTGCATGGCAGAGGGTTGTTTCTTGCATTTTCCTTTATAACTTTGAGCGAGAAATTGGCGCAAGACTGGACAAAATTGACGCATATACGCATGCCTTGTATTTTACCGCTGTGTTATTTGAAATCTTTGAGGAAGCCCGAATTGTGACATGGCTGTATGGCTAATGACAGTTACTAGCTATTCGTTCGTTGATCTCCTTATTTTTAAGGAAGCATTCTTGGCCGACATTTCGAATTTTCTCTTCGATTTCTTGTTCGACTTGATGGTTTGGAATTGGTACCCTGCAACTTTCGGGAAAACCTATCCTCCCCTCCTGAGGGACTGCTTACAGGGACACTGAAAAGATTAAACAAGACTTAATCGCACTTACCACAACAGGGATATCTGGAATGTCAAGATCCTGAAAGTAAAAAAAATAAATAAATAAAATAAAATAAAAGCCAGGTAAACACTGATAAACAAAAACTCCCTGAACCACCAACAATCAAGAACACGAACAGGTGGCCAAGAGCAACGCCTTTCAATAGAAGCGGCATTGATAACGGCATATGCGCTTTGTGAATGAGTATTCGCTGTATACCTTACTACAAAATTAATAAATTTGTCTTGTAACTTCTGTATTGGCTTTTCTTACCTCTTGTTTGATTAATTTCAGAAAATATTCGCAACTTCACAAGTAGAAGGCAGTAAAAAGATAGAAGTCATTCAACGCTTACCTCAGGTTCAAGTTCCGGTCTTTCTTGTCTTCTTCCAGTGAAGTTGGCTACCAGTTCTCTTCTCTTGCGAAGTGTATTTTGACGATAGTGTAACGACTGCAAGGAATAACAAAAAATCCTTTCAATGAGCGATTTTATTCGAACTACCACACCTCTGATGACAGCGATACACAAATTCTCCTCAAGTCGCAAGTTTTTTTTTTTTTAAAGTAACGGCAGCTTACAGTCAACTTACTCACGACATTTTAGGTATTTTGTGATGAGTGTAACCTTGGAATGCTCTCTCCTACATAACTGCGCAGTGTACTTGATTTATAAAACACGCGCCAGTCTCCCAGTAAATTCTGAACGAGGCTAACAACCAACCGCGACCTGGCCACTCGATTTTTTATTGTGATATTGACTTTCATGGTTAACCGTTGAGATAACCTTGGTATTTATGTTAAAAGCACTCTAAAGAAGGTTTGCCATGTTGGTGACTACCTGATGAATCTTGGAGTACACTGTTAAAGTCTGTTTCATCTTTTTCCTTTCAACACGTGCTCATCTCAAATGCAAAGAGTATACAACAACTGAGGGAATACGGTTCAGTTGTAAACATTGCAGAAATAAACCCTTTCTCTGGGCTCGTGCGGTCAGGGAAGGAAACACTGCGTGGCGCCGAACTCTGAAGGATCAAACTCTGATAGTCTAGACTCTAAGGGACCAAACTCCGGCTGAGGGACCAAACTCTGAGGGACCAAACAGTGAGGGACCAACTATTTGGTCAACGCGGAGTAACTGAAGGATCCAGCAAGTGAGATCTGCCTACAATTACTAATCCTTCATTTACATCCGCTGTAGAAGATGTTTATTAACTTGGTAACGAGAGAAAGTAACTCACATCATCCTTGCAGATCACAATCCATCGGCGCCAACATTGATTATCAGTTCGATTACCCATGGCACGTGCAATTTTAGACCAATTTCCTGCAAACAATTCAAACATCTGATTAGTTGTAATCAGGGACGGGGATTGTCAATTGGAATGTCCGAAAGCATTTGTTTGTGGAAGCAGCAATGACAAGCCTGTTTTGTGGGAATGAGCCACCGACCAACAAATGAGGGTTGTGGTTGTCAGAGCAACGGCTTTGTAATCGCTCTTTCGCTTATTTCTACCAAAGGAGAGCCTAACGCAGACTGAGTAGTTATCTTGTGTAAGTGCGCTGTTTAACCGCTTTTTCAGTCTGGGTTGGAGTCCTGGCCGGTAATTTGTGTTGTGTTTTGGAATAGGCGTACCACTTTCCACTCAGGAGTAACAAATGGATACTTGTAAACTGTCACGAGAAAGCGACAAAAAGCTGTGGGGAAGGGAAGGGGTGGTAACCTGAGGTTGACGAACATTTCCGTGCGTTGGCAGAGTTAGCAGGTAATTCTTTTTTGTACGGATGAGTGCACCAGGGAAGGAAAGAGGATAGGAGAAAAAGAAGACACGTTTTTTTTTCACTAGTCGGTCGACCAACCCCTTCTTGTGCTTCCCAGAGGAGGGAGAAAAGGAACGCCTAATCGCAAGTTAAGTCGGCAGTGAAGAAAATAATTTAACTGACAGCTCAGAGGTGTCCTGACTCAACGTTATTATTGCAGCTCTCCACTAAAACTGGCCTCTTTCTCAGCGCCGAATGAGAACAACGAAATTTTATCTTCCGTGTTAGTTAGCTTTAACATACAGTAACAGCTCTTTACGCCAAAAACAAAAATTGCAGTTAATTTAAAAATATTGACCCTTCTGTAGGCTTGAAAGTAGCCTGAGTTCATCCAATCTAAAAAGAACAGCAGAACGGGACATAAGGTAACGGAAAGCAGTTATGTAGTAAAGACAATCTTCTCACACAATTTAAGTACACAAACCTTTGCCAAATTTGTTCACATTTTCCAAAAGGTCTTTGTCCTGCTCTTTGGTCCAAGGTCCTTTCTCTATTTTGGGATCCAAAGCATTTACCCATCTACAAATAACGATGATTATTTCAGTATAAGCAAAAAAAGAAACCGACACAACTACCTACATACGTTAGACTGTCTCGTACATCGTACATAACTCTTTCTTTTCCCTCTTTTATTCCCGTTGGTGGATGGCTGAGAGAGAGGGGGGGATTAGTAGGCCGAAGTTTTACTTAGCATCAGCCATTTGGAGGGAGGGAGACTGGGTTGCCTGACGACACCAAACAATTGCTAATGAGAAAAAGACTTCTTAAAAAAAAGCCGTGAATGGTCAAGGCTTTCTTCCTATAAAGATTGAAACTTAGTGACACACCTTTCTCGACACTGAGGACCTGATCTTCCAGGAACCATATCAGAAAGTTTACTCCAGTTACACGGCCCATACTTGTCAATAGCCTTCTTCAGAAGCTAAAAACCCAAGACAAATAAAAAACTGTCAATTATTCCACAGGGTTAAAACGTAAAGGAGGAGAAGGGGAGAAATTCTGACCCAGTACTTGTTTCATTCTAAATAAAAATGAAAGTATCTTGGCTTGAAAGTTAAGACATAAGGGAACAACGCTTATTTATTTTTGATCCTTTCATGAACAAAGAAGAAAAATAACCTTGCAGCTCTTTGGGCCCAAATTATTTCCAAGTTTCAAAGCAAGACGTTCAATAAGCAAACTATTTAAAGCACGAAGCCAAAACCATTCACTAACAAAAACAGAGACAGAGAAAATTTTCATGAACTTTCTTTTTCCCTTCAATTGTAAAAGCCCCCAGTTATTATCAATTTTTTCACCACACACCACAATACGTTAGCATCTTAAAGGGGAGACTAAAACACTTAACCTCGTCTTCATGTTTTTCCCATTTTCCTTTCCTCACCATCTGCAGTGTTTGTGTGTAACGGTGTAAGCACTGGTCTCCATGGCGACCTTCTAAGAAACTGGCCACTGCCAAGGTGAAAGCCAAGGATTAAAAAGAAACAGAAAAGGATGGCATAACCTGGAAAAGCACTTTCAACCTTTGACCTCAAAGAGTGACCAGCATCTCATTTCTCCTTACAATATCATGCCCCGAGTAAAATATTACAGATACGATAACGGATACGATAACGAATTCTCCATGTCAGCACCTTAGGAAATGTACAGAGAACAGTATGGAGAATATACATACTGATGTTCAGGTGTAAAGGGTTAAGAGACTGATTAGCTTGTACATGCTTCATGTTCACAACCCAGGAAAATTTTCCACATGAATACCACCCATCCCTAGAGAATTTCAGTGCATTAGCCCTCCACCCCACCTTACCCCAGCCGGGAATTTCAAAAAACATTTATAGGGAGTATGAGTACTTTCAAGAAGAGAACCATTAAAAGATGTGAACAGGTGATCAAAAAAGAGAACACCATTAAAAAAAAAAAAAAAAAAAAGAAATTGAGAATGTGCAAACAAATATGTTTTCCTTTCCTACCTCTTGGCCAGTTTCCAAGGCCGACAATACGTACAACCTCAAGCAACTGCTGGTCATCTTCTGGGCTCCACTTACTAGATAAAGCCAAGGGAAAAAAAGAAAAAAGAAAACAAAAAAGTGCAAACAAAAACATAAAAAAGATGAACAAACACCTTGCATTAAATTGTTTCAATCGGAAAACATTTGCACCCTTTTATAGGTGTTTGGTTTGAAAACCAGAACCGATTTGGACAGCTCTGTCTTATACTATTTCTAAATGAATTTTGAAACCTTTTCCTTTCCCTCCTTAAAATTCCCCATTCCCTTTCTTTTGGTGGAGACAGAACTTTTCCTGGTGGGCCTGAGAACTGGCTTTGTGATTTGAAGTTTCCTACACTTCCTCAACAGATTCTAACATTATGACCGCACTGCAATTATCATTAAATCACTTGTGTTGGAGTCATATGGAGGATCAGAAGTAGATGCAGAGCCTTGAGTTACAAATTTGGTGTCTTCATGTGGATCACTCTGTAATACAGTGCATGGTTTCAACCCATTGACTGTAGTCTTTAAAACCTGAAGGAATGTTATCTTTAGTCACAAAGTCAAGTGATACTGACTTCTACCCAGGCTGTCAAAATGACTGTTGCCGTTACTAACAACAGTCCTCTCAAGCTCTACCCTCCCTTTGACAATCCGACAACACTATCAGAGAATAGGAACCTAATTATTCAATGGACCTCAGATAAGGAACCAAATGTTCCTTGTAGCACATGCAGTGCATGTGATTCTTTAAATGTAAGCAGTCTTTCACCTCTTTAGAAGATTCTTGTTAAGGCTTCTCTGATAACGCTCATAACAATGAATAGGTGTGCGCTTGGTCTGAAAACAAACAGAAACAAATGATATATCATTAGCATCAACTACCTTCTCTTTGATTTTCAACTAAGGTTAGAAAAGCTGTTAGTATATTGTACAGAGAGAATGTTTCCATCTTAAGCACAAAATGTGTAGGCTTGAAGAAAGGAACAGCTTGTAAAATAGTTTTTTGTACCTGCAGTTTTTGAGCAATAATATCCCAGGTATTTTGGGGGTCTTTTGCCAGTTTTATTAACTTCTTGTCTTCTTCTTTAGTCCATGCTGTTCTGTTGACATCAGGATGTCCAAAGTTGCACCACTGCAAACGGCACTCAAGGCCTGATCGCTTTGGAAGCTAGTAAAAAATATATTTTTCAATGTGTTTCTTTTCACATGTTCCTAATAGTGTCAGGCTTTTAGGGTGAGGTAAACATACAAAACAAAACATATATATTATCCAACCACATATTTCAGTTTAAAGAACTTACATATTTGCTGCTTAATTTGTCCCAGTCGATATCCTCTAGATCTCGTTCCAGTGTTTCCTTTCCTAAATTTCTAAAATGTAACCAAAAAGCTCTTAGGAAACTGCTTGAAATAAGGTATCTTCAGTTAAGATTTTTTTTTGCTTTTTCTATTTAGCATTATCATTACTTTGTTGTCATAAGTATGGACAGATGCAAACTTTCGGGGGGGGGGGGGATATACTAGGAATTTATCACTGAGTTCAATAAGATCTAGATTTCTTAACTCTAATCTTGATGTTCCTAGGAGCACTCATGTACCAAAATGAGGAGAAATTATCAAGCTGATTACACATACCTAATCCTTACACTTTCTGCTTTGAGATCTTCAAGTTCTTTCAATTCCCTCTTAGTTTTCTCTTTCTTACCTTCCAATTTCTTGATCCTAAAGAACAAAATTAAATTACATAAAATGACCAAAGGGGAAAAATAGTAGAAATAGAAATTTGGGGACTTAACACTCTGAAATTTCTATCAACCTGGTTCCCTATTCTAAGAACTGATGTCTGGTGCAGCTGTACCTTCATATTCTTCATAATTATACTGTAACTGAGGTTTAACCTTGAAAAGTTTGAACTAAAGAGGAATTGAAATGTAACATAGATTGTCATTCATGCTTACCACAAGGAAAATCAATAAAAATCCTAAGGCAAAGTCACTTCAAATCAGAAAATTCTTATCCAGAAGAAGTAAGAGAAGAAACCAATGTTACTGAAATAAGTTGAGTTGGGTTGAAACTTCAGATCAATTCTAATTGAGCCCTTCATAGTATAGGTTTAGGGGTTGGCTGGAGAAACACAGTGACTATTTATTTACTGAATGTACAGTGTTTATGGCAAACTGTAATAATTATAGCCTCTTTGATACCTCACCAGTCAAGTTTATTTAAAACAATTATTTTGATGGGTGTTGGTCATTTCATTTTTGAGGTACCAAATATGTTCCTTAGGCCTCTGCTGAGAAATATACCAGTTCTATTTGTACTTACTTTTGCAGCACAGGGGAAAGTTTACTTTCCAAATTTTGCATTCTGACTCCCTCAGCTAGACTGTTTTGCTCCTTCAAATTCCCTTCAAATTTAAAAAACCTTACAGTGGAGATAACTGTGTTTCTCTTTCATTTTGTTAAGCTGATAACCTGGATCTGCGCTTCACCAACAAAATAAAGTTCCAAGCTACATGTCCAATATTGGCATGTCCAATACATTGGAGATATTATCCCAGGGAAGAAAAACTTGCCTGTGTTGTTTAAAGGTTAAGAAATCATGTGTAGAAATAGGAGTAACATTACTTATTCACAGTAAAAATTATATGAAAATGGTGTCACCCTCCATACTTAAAACAAGTCAATTCTCTATGCTTCAGGTCAGACAACGAGTGAACTTAAGAATTCTTGGATCAATGTCAGTATCTAAGAAACTACACACCTACCCCTTCCCCAACTCCACATTAGCCCTAACTTGTTATCAGTTGACTGTTGTTGGGCTAAGGGAATGGAAGATGTGCAGTTGCTTAGATACTAGCATTGATCCGGATTCTTTGGCACTGAGTTATTAGCCCCTCTGAAAAACAAGTACTGGCTCCTGAGAAAACATTCAGGCAAGTTTAGTGTTTTCTGTACACTGTTTGGTATTGAGTATCTCTTAAACATGGAGAAATGCTCTGATATTGAGAAAAAAAAATTATAACTTCCTTTTTTTTCCTCTTTTTTCCCTATTTTCAGTGTGCCATTTTCAAAGATTTTACGATGGACAGTGTAGTTGAATTTAACACCTGACTTACAGCATCTGGATGGAATCTGGTAGCCTCCAACCTGAGAACTTTGCCTCTTTATCTTGGTGTCATCATTATCTGGAGGTCCCTAATAAGCATGAGGCTCAGGTGATATATCACATCTCATAATGTTTTCTAAAATACAATGCATAACTTGTAATAAAAAAAACCATGTTTAACTTAATATCTTGAATTGTTTTCACACTGGCATGCTTAAAACTACCTGACTGTACACTCAGTTAGAGTGAAGATTGAAGTTGTAATGATACTGAGAAACCATTTGTTTACTATGTGACTGCCCTATAAGTAATAATTTCTTTCATGTCTCTGAATAAGCAACAAAACTGTAGTTTCCCTAACAATCAATCTGAGTGAATGACTGCATTGTACAGTGTTTACCAATTCTAAAACTTAAGCCATTCTCCTCTGGCCTTGGACATTACTGTAAAATAATCACCTACAATTTGTCTTTGGACTATTTGACAACATTCAGCTTTCACTCTGTCTTTGTGGACAACAATTGTTTATTATTTTTTTAAAAAAAATTCTTAAGAATGTGTGTTAACTTTAATTATAGCTTACCAGTGAACTTGAATCTTTAAAATAAGGATTGGCAAACTTGATTAATGTATGAGGCTCAGGTTTTGTGTCATCTTTGTTTGCTCTCATTTGATGCAATCCCATCTGATTCACAACAAGACAAATTTTTATGTCAGACCAACAAATGTAAACAAATGCCTTGTCTTACTCAACTGTTATCACCAACTACCCAAATGCAACGTTTTTAAATGCTCATTCAAGCAGTTTTGCATGCATATCTTTGGCTTTCTCATTCCAGCACCACCCCTGAATCACATGTTATGGTCGTAGGAATAAGGGAAACTAAAAGTCAGAGTAAACTCAAGACTGAAGCTTTCATTAGTCAATGAAATTCTCTATATCAGGTTCTGGTTGTTCGAAGGTTAGATGGCACTATCCACTGGATAAAACTCTATCCAGTGGATAATGCAATATGTTTTGCTATCTCCTATCTGCTGGATAGCGATTTATCCATTGGATAGCGTTATCCGATCTTTCTACAACTGGACCCAGAACAATAGAAAGAGAATAAAGAACACTATGAAGAATATGCATTCTATTGTTAGGGTGTAGAGAGTTAAAAATGGCTGTTCTATTAAATGGAGGGCTTTGATTGGCTCGCATGAGACCAATCAACAATTTCCAATTAATTGTGAAAATTCCACTTTGCAAATTCCTGATATGTATACATGAAGGGGAAAAAAATGTGCTCAGGACTAAACCATGTACAAAATGTTATCATTGTATCTCCATGAGGCCAGTGAAGATAAAACTATTAATAAAAAAACATCTTAAGAAATTATTAGCGGATGCCTAAAAGATGTGAGGTAACTAAAGTTAAAAGCTATCAAAAATTGTCAAAAAACAAAAAAAGAATCCCCATTTACAGTGTATTTAACAGTACCTGCTTCTGTTTGTTCCGTTTTAGGGCGTGTTCTATTCTTTCAAGTTCATCCAATATTACCAACTGAAATGTGAAAATTAATCAAGAAATAAACAACAGGTAGAGAAGCAGGCACAAGCATTTTCAGCTGAGAGTCAATAGTAATCAGTGGGATTACACTGATTTTGGTTTACTTTGCTAGAATGATTGGTAAATTTTGAGGCACCTTGCTTTAAAAAAAGAAAAAAAAGAAAAAAAAAAGACTGTACTTGATAGTCTCTGTTCAAACTCAAGCACTGTTGAATTTCACTGCTCATCCCATAATCACAGTCGAGCTCCTTGTCAGCATCATCATTGTACTGTGGACCATGCTCCTCTTGTAGCTGATGGTGATGTTGGTTCAACTCCACTGGCCAGCTATTAGCAGTATGTCCTCCTTGACTGGTATTGAGATTACAAACAGGGGGTTGAAAACATACTGGTTGTAATTCAGTCAAGATGACCTCTTCTGAAGAAAAATTATGGTTTTGAGATGTCAATGAATCAGTGTCACCTTGTGCCTGGAATGGCAACCCACTGATAAGTCCTTGATTGTCCACAGAGGTCAAGGCAAATGGTGTCCTTTCATTCAATTCTTCTTGCCCATTACAATTCTCTTCCTGAAGTACTTCTCCTTCACTGGTGAGTGTAAAACCATGTTTCTACGAGAAACATGGGTTAAATTACATCAATTTGATATTGTACTAATCATGAAAATCAAGCTTCAAAAAAACTTGCAAAATTTTGTTTGGTTCCCAAAACACATGGCAAATTTTTATATTTTCAACTGGTGCTCTGATTTAATGACCAACTAGTTCCCTAATCTGTGCCAAAACTTGAAGCCAAAGGCTACCAAGATTTCCACAACTTATCCTGATTTCTGCTAAAAATAAGTAATAGTGCTGATACTGCTTGTGCTCCAGAGTGGATTGCTGACAATACACCTCAAAAAGAAAAAAGAGAAAAGTTTCTCTTCTAGGACCACAACAGCATGACCTCTGCTGAGGTTCAACCTAAAAGAGTTGATCTTAATTCTGGTATCCCAATTTTTCTTCTGTGGCTGTTGTACTCTCATAAGTAACATTTGCCTGTTTATGGTAATAAGAGGCAACTACAAATACTCACTGAAGCAGAGAGAAAATTCTCTGTCTGATGTGGCAACTTGAAAGAAGTTTGATCTGTGGGATACAGGTATACATATATGTCAAAGCAGAAAACTTGTGATTTAGCTCACATAAGAAAATTAAAGGTAAAATTCAAAACACATAACACAAAATATATTAAAGTTCACACGGCAACCAGGTGGACAATCAGACATAGTTTGATGCTACTCTGGTTTGCAGATTTAATGAATGTAACCAAAGAAGTTACAATTCATAGACCCAACGTTTTGACACTCCTGTCTAGTGCCTTCATTAGGGGTGATCTAAACGCTGCAACAAGAGGTCCTTTTATATGATCACTAATTACGATGGTGGCTTGCTTCCTGACGCCTATTTACACCTCGTCAGAAAAAAAAAAAAAAGGCCGCTAATTAGTGATCATATAAAAGGACCTCTTGTTGCAGTGTTTAGATCACCCCTGATGAAGGCACTAGACAGAAGTGTCTAAATGTTGGGTCTATGAATTGTAACTTCTTCGGTTACATTCATTAAATCTGCACACCAGAGTAGCAACAAACTTTGTCACATAACACAACTTTTATATCATAGATTTTGCTTGTTTCCTTTACTGTGTGGTAGCACCTAGCTAGAAATTGACTATTTGAAAAAACAAGTTATGTACGGTGTATACCCATAATTCATTCACACCAATCTATAATCGGCTACAAAATTGTTGACACATCAACTTTTTTAATCCCCTATAGGGGGATTATTGGTGCTACTCTACATGCTGTAATTAGAACTCAGCATGCTGACAAGGTGGACCTCGGTGGTGCTGTATTGTGTAATAGTTCCTACGTCACTGAAGCATTTGCAGCAATTAGCTCCACTCAAGTGAGATAGCCATGATACTTCTTGACGTAAGGGTGAATCTAGATTCAATTGGGAATGGGGAGTTCCAGAATGTTTACTACAATAAATTTATCGTCTGTTGTGCGTGGCAGTTATTTTGTCCAGCCTAGAAATTTTTACCAAAACAACAAATGAAACATACGTTTCAGGCTTGCGTTTTCAGCGCAAGGTTGTTCATTTTCTTCTTCTTCCTCTTCTTCGAACTCTTCATCGTCTTCTTCATCGTCTTCTTCATCTTCAGAAGACAACTTGTTGACTGCATCAGCTGTAACACGGAGGGCTTCGCGAATGCGCTGGATGTCATCCACAAGAAGCTCTCTTTCACTTACGTCGCCTTCATCGGGCTGAAGAGCACTCATGTCACTTTCTTTCCGAACTTTACTGGCTGCAATTTGTTGATAAAACGAGGTGAACTCTCCATCTGAACGATTGTTGGAGAAAGACACAACGACCCGGTTACGTCAAGCTGCCATATTAGAAACAACCTCACTTTCAGGGTGCAAAAGAAACGTGGGAGAGTAGTGATACGTGAGTGAGTGTTGTTGTGTTGTCGCGGATTAAAGGGAAAACTAGATGAAAAATGACTATTGTGGGCTTTTTTCTTGCTTTTTGTACTTTTTATAATTAATCACAGGGAAGAAAAATGCTTTTTTAGTTTGTGCAACACGTGCTGAACCTTCTCGCGGGAGTTGGTGAAGGGAGGGGGTAGGGTTAGGTTTTGTCGGGTTTAAACCTGTTACCAGTCCTTTTGAGCTTTTAGATGTGAACGTTTGAATTAATATTTAGTGAAATTTTAGGAAATATTCATGGTTTTGCTGTAACTGAAGAAGAAGACAAGATGAAAATGTTTTCCAGTGTAGGTTTTGTTTAATATTCTGCTACCTGGAGGAAAACTGCAAAAATTGTACTCGTGAAACATAAAAATTTGCTAATCAGGAAAATTATTTCAGTATAAATGGGCCTGTTGGTCTGTTCATCCCAATCAACACTCAAAGAAAACCAGCCTGACATATGACTTTTTTTTATTATTATTTAAGTTAATTTATGAACTAATTTTTCCATGCGACTAAAATGAATCTTCGATCTAATACTGAAGCAGCCATTACTGTTGTGATCCTATTTCCGGACGGTTCATCACAGAGAGAGAAAAGAACTTAGAAAATACTGTGTACAAGGTAGAACTTGGATATCAGTTTCCTTACGAAGTTAAGCAGAAGTTTTAAAAACTAACCTTTCTTCCAACAATAGTTGATTTCAATACTTTTACTTGAACTGGTGATCAAAAATAGCTCATAAGGGTCTTAATGGGGTGATGGCTTTTACAGCTAACTAACGGTTAAAATTTTGGCCATTTTGCAGCTAACGGTTAAATTCTTTCCGTATCCATCAAGAAAAAAAATTTTATGATTAACTTTTTTACAACTAGCAATCAAAATTTTTCAATTTTTTCGCCTAACGGCCACAATTTCTTTTTTAACATTTCAGACCCTCTCATAGTGGGGTATTTTTAAACAGACATGATGTAATAATAACAAGACTACCCCCGTGACTAGTTAAAATTGGACAAATCTAAAGGGAGGAGCATCCTACTTTCGGAGTTCGCTTGTAGCATCTCTCGCCTCGGCCAACCCTCTAACCCACAAGATTTAGATATCAATTCTCTGCACCATCTACCATACATTTCTTATCATTTAGGGTGTAAGAATTTGGTGTCAAATTAAACTATATCCCAAATGCTTCTTGGATTTTCTTTGATTTTAAAGATGTAGTGATTTTGTGATGGAGACAAATTTTCTTTTTACCCTATGCTGGAGGTGAAAAAATCGGAAAACCTAAACCCTGCCTTACGCGATTTGTAAACTGAATATCAGTTTACGAATACACAGGAGACTCTAATGATGGTGACAGTCCTTCTCAGGACTACTCCAACCCTGACGACCAGATTACAAGACCAAATGTTACTCTTGGGTTCACACAATTTACTTAAGATCCTTGAGATTTCATTAACAATAGTCAAATATAGAGGAAATTGTTGGATCACTCTCATTACTCATTACTCTTGTTTTCAGCGCTTCCCCACCCCACCCTAACTCCGAATCACCTTCTTCTTTCCTTGTATAAATGGCGCCGTGAACATCATTTACGCCAGGAACATTATTTACGAGTATGTTAGTTGACTTATATTCTAAAGTTGCATGCCACCTTTGTTCCTTGTTTTGTCCGCCTCTCTTATCGTCGTTTGAAGTTTGCAGGTCTGATTTTCATCTCTGATGTTATGGGAGCGCGAGTAGGATCTTTAAGATCAAATCTTCCCCAATGAATCTTTGCGTCTTCTTTGCCTCCATAAATTGCGTCTTCTTTCCATCCATAAATTCCGTTTAGATTTGAACTAATAGAACAGCCTTTGTACCACCAGCTTTCTCTTACTATTCCAGGACAGTTGAAATTCTTTTGATTCCAAGTACTAAAATTTGAGCCATTATGATCACTGAGAGAATCATGGACATTCGCTTCTGTTAAAAAATTAATATCCACTCATAAATTCTTTGAAACTTCAGCTCAATTTTTGTCACGATGAAAATAGAATGGGAAAAAAGATTTTTTAATCTTGAGAAGATGAGTGGGGAAGGAAAAGAAAAACGTGAATCTGAGCACTGCTACATTGAGCTTTAATACTTGCATTAGAGGTCAGATTTTCAGACCCTTTGCTGAGTCAGGGACTCGTTAAAGGACATACTACACGAAATCTATCCATTAATGTAACAGCACATATCCATGCGGTAATATGCTCACAAAGTACTTAGTCTAGATGAAAACGTTTACAAGAAAAAATAATCGAGGTGATGTATTGTTAAAAAGTTCATATGAAGCTAAGTTCGATAATAGCGATGGCTATAACTGAGCTCTCGTAGTCGTTTTGTTGATACTCGATGGACCAAATTCATCTTCTCTATCCTCTGGCTTTGATTCCAAGACCGGGAAAACTGAAAGGTGCTAGTGTATGCTTTTGTTTCACTGTTTCATTAATTGTGACGCAACGAAGCTACCTGTCATTAATTATTGCTTTTATTGACTTATATTAGTGTGGTTTGATCGTCCGGGTGAGTGTAGTCCTGAGAAGGACTGTTGTCGGTAGTGGTGACTGACGTTTCGACAACCTGAGCGGAAGTCATCATCAGAGTCAAGTGAAAGGTTGTTGTCAGTCGAATGTACTTAGTCCGGTTTGTGTGTTTGTGTAAGTATATTCGACTGACAACAACCTTTCACTTGACTCTGATGATGACTTCCGCTCAGGTTGTCGAAACGTCAGTCACCACTACCGACAACAGTCCTTCTCAGGACTACAGTCACCCGGACGATCAAACCACACTGGTACATGTTACCCCCGGGTTCAAACCATTTACTGTATTTATTGACTTACTTGCCAAATTGCCAATGTTCAGCCGGTACTTATCCGCTTCGTTCGCAATTCCAAACCATTTATATTCAGCGTAAACGATGTTTTTAGAATCATCCCCGAGATCCACTCTAAGCGTGTTGTTTTTCTTCTCTTGAGTCAGCCGGTGGACCTTATCCAGTCCAAGCCAAAATTCACCAGCGAGGAAACTTCCAAAACCATGTTTGTAGTGAGACCAACTGCGGTTGAAATCGACGGAACCATTTAGTCTTCTCTGGAACACCGTCCAGCCTCCACCGTCTGTTGTCTGATCACAATATACATCAAAGGCTTCTGAGTTGTCAGTTTTGATTGTATAAATACCACTGATTCTCTGACCAGATCTGTGCAGCTCAGCACAATTTTTAACTGTTGAAGAAAAATACGAAAGTTTCGTCAACAAAGTTGCACGTAAATGAGCAGAATGGAAATAAAAAAGCCGAGGATCGTAGATGAGAAAGGAATCTGACTTTCGTCGACCACATCCTATGCCTCTCTGTGACGACTGTCTTTGAGTAAATTTTGATTTAGCCTTAGTGTTAGTGCGCAACCTCGCACATGTATGATTTGCCTACGCAGCCTGTAATTGATGAAATTGATACAGAGAAAATTGAACGAGTGGTAATTTAGCTTGTCATCACAATGGTGTAAGAAGGAAATCTTACTTACATGTACGCGCTGAAGCTGAGATTAGAATCACCAACAGTATTGCCCCGAACAGCCAATAAGAAACTCTGAAAAGGGAATTCATCTTATATAATGTGAAGCTCTCTCTTGCTTTAAGCAACTAAAGGTTATAATATGTAACAGTGACAGACTGAAGAAACACCGTCATTTATAGTCTGGTTTGGAACATATTTAGGCCATTGCATCAAAAGCTATTTTTGGGGGTGTCAAACGTCAAAACTTAGTAAAAGAGTATCAAGGATTGTCTGGATCGACCATACACCTTACCGTGAGCGATGCACTTAAGCCAGAGTTCTTGCGGTGGGGTAAAATTTGTCAATCAAAATCAGTGTCTTTTACGCATTACCGGCAGGAAGAATGAAACATCTTACGAGCAAAATTGATCTCAACTTGATCCCTACAATCAATTAGCAACAAGAAGTTGCACATTGTCGGAAGAATATTTCTAATTAAAAGTCACTAGAAAGTTCTCTTGTTGACTGTTGTGCTGATAATCGAATACCTATGCTGTGCTACATCGAAAAAGACAAACATTACTAGTATTTAATAATTACTAGTAGTTATTGTCATTGAGTTCTCCCACGTCATTTCTTCTGCTAGATAACTTGACATTAATTGCTACCGAGGGATTATAAACTGGGTCATGGGGATAAAGTTATCTCAGATTATAATTTCTTGTAATCGCTTAAGATTAACAAAGATGAGTAAGCTGCCGCCAGGAGTTTTGTGATGTCGGACTTTCCAAGGTTATGCTTAACGCGGGGGTTAATTCTTTTTAATAGCTAAATCCTTTAAATACTTTTTTTTTAATAACCCTTTGGTGGTCTTAAGTAGATATATCTCAGTCACTTGTTTACACTTGTTCGGTCAACTGTGAACATCACTAAGTCAATTCGTGTCATAAATAAACATCACTCCGCAACTTGGCGTTATTGAAATATCGCCTGGTTGTTTATGGGGACTTATACAGTCACTTAATTAGAAATTTTACCCAGTCAGCTGTACGTACTTTTTTTAGTCAGCTGCAAAAATTAGCTACAAATAGTTTTCTCTCATTTGATTATCGTCATTGCGTTGATGTTGGGAAATCTTGAATACCAAAGACAGCCACACTTGTTGTGGAATATTTCGTATTAAAAGTCACAAGAAAGTTCTCTTGTTGACTGTTGTGCTGATAATCGAATACCTATGCTGTGCTACATTGAAAAAGATAAACATTACTGGTATTTAATAATTACTAGTAGTTATTGTTATTGAGTTCTCCCACATCATTTCCTCTGCTATATAACTTGACATTAATTGTTACCGAGGGATTATAAACTGGGTCATGGGGATAAAGTTATCTCAGTTTTATAATTTTCTGTAATCGCTTAAGATTAACAAAGATGAGTAAGCCGCCGCCAGGAGTTTTGTGATGTCGAACTTTCCAAGGTTATGCTTAACGCGGGTGTTAATTCTTTTTAATAGCTAAATCCTTTAAATACTTTTTTTTTAATAACCCTTTGGTGGTCTTAAGTAGATATATCTCAGTCACTTGTTTACACTTGTTCGGTCAACTGTGAACATCACTAAGTCAATTTGTGTCATAAATAAACATCACTCCGCAACTTGGGGTTATTGAAATATCGCCTGGTTGTTTATGGGGACTTATACAGTCACTTAATTAGAAATTTTACTCAGTCAGCTGTACGTACTTTTTTTAGTCAGCTGCAAAAATTAGCTACAAATAGTTTTCTCTCATTTGATTATCGTCATTGCGTTGATGTTGGGAAATCTTGAATACCAAAGACAGCCACACTTGTTGTGGAATATTTCGTATTAAAAGTCACAAGAAAGTTCTCTTGTTGACTGTTGTGCTGATAATCGAATACCTATGCTGTGCTACATTGAAAAAGATACATATTACTGGTATTTAATAATTACTAATAGTTGTTATCATTGAGTTCTCCCACATCATTTCCTCTGCTAGATAATTTGACATTAATCATTACAAAGGGATAATAAACTGGGTCCTGGGAATAAAGTTATCTCAGTTTTATAATTTCTTGTAATCACTTAAGATTAAGAAAGATGAATAAGCCGCCGCCAGGAGTTTTGTTATGTTGAACTTTCCAGAGTTATGCTTAACGCGGGTGTTAATTCTTTTTAATAGCTAAATACTTTTCTAATTGCTAGAAAGATACTTAATCAGCTACATTGTTATTCTGATACCTCGACTGAAGAGTTTAGGGTCCAAAGCAAACTCGTGAATTGACACATGATTTTTTGGATTATGTTAAATGTTATCTGGTTTAGGGAATTTTGTGGTTGATTGTCATATCTAGAGTACGAGCAGTAGTTCAGTGTTCGCTAACGTAGCAAAGAAACAAAGTAACGTTGGGATAAGAAGGCATTACAATTGAAATGATCATGCTATTACATTTGACAAGGGTGGATGATGTCATGTGTTTTAAACGTATATCGTTTTCGTTTCTGGTTCAGACTGAAAAGGTTGGAAGTAAATGTGGGCGAAAAGTGAGATTTATTGTCTATCATTGTAAATATTACAAAATCAAGGCAATACTGTCTTAATGAAAGCATTAATGATTCCCTCTTTATCGAATGAGACAAACGGGAACTAGTTTTGAGTGATATAACTAAGCCAAGACTGCCACCGTCATTTTGGATCTCCGCCTGGGTAGATTTTAGTCACGTGCTAGGCAACGTGTAATCAAGAAAAAGATAGAATTTAATTTCAGGCCTATTTATCAATTTGTGGTCTATAACTTTCGCATTTTAGTACGTAATATTTATTTTGAATCTTCAAATTGTCTTAAAACTTAAAAAGAAAATTGTTCTTTAAAAATTCACTGAAAATCGGTAGCTAAAATTGTTTGTTTAGGTGTTATTTGATTTTCGTGTTAACTTGTAATTTCGTCAGTCGCCGGCATCTTTTGTTGCTTCACACAGGAAAAACACACGATACGAAACGTAATGATCGATTTTGTCCTCAATCTCATGCCATAACAGAAAAAGCTTTTGAACATCTGTAAACTCCGAGCCAGCTTCGCAGTAAGTGATATTTTCAATGAATCTTCGGATTGTTTTCAAATTCAAGAATTGTAAATTACAATTTTATGAAAAACGAAGGTTGTTCTGTTATTTCAGTGTGAATCCTTGCATGCCTGCCAGTTGCTGGCGCCGCTTGTTGAAACTAAAACGAAAAAAAAACTGGTCGTTTTTTCCCACATAAGCTAGACCAACAATTCATAAATATAAAGCAACTGCGTCTAGAATGCAGAATGCAGAATGATACCGCTCTTATCATGGTTGTTACTAAAGACTAAACGTTCTCCACTTTATTTTCTTCCTTTCGCAGTCTTAGTAAAATCGATGCTTGACATACAAAGGGATCCTACATTTTTTAATAACCCTTTGGGGGGTCTCTATAAGATATATCTCAGTCACTTGTTTACTTGTTCGGTCAACTGTGAACATCACTAAAATAAACATCACTCCGAAACTTGGCGTTATTGAAATATCACCTGGTTGGTTATGGGGACTTAAACAGTCACTTAGAAATTTTACTCTGTCAACCGTACTCACTTTTTTAGTCAGCTGAAAAAATTAGTTAGCTTATACTTTATATTTGATAAAATGTAAGACACCACTCCAGTAGCTTGTTTTATCACATGGCACGGGAACGGTCATAAGCCGTGTATTTTTGGTCACGAAAGCTAACAAACTACTTACTTACCTATAACCAACATTCCTTAGTACGGCCCTCGGTTAGTAAGAAGTTGCTATTCACTTACTGGGTCGGTTGTTATCATAGTACTTTGTCAGTTGAAATAATTAGCTTGGTTACTCTTTCTGTTGTAAGAAATAATTAGTATGTTTTTTCTGTCCGTTATGCGAACTTATTCGGTCGGTTGTAATCTTGATAAGGCAATTTAGTATTACCAACTGAGTTGAGAACGTAACTTGGCAACCGTTGACTTGAGGGTTTCAAAGATGACGTTTCGAGGGTAAGTACTTCGCCAGAGCAAATGACGAAGGGCAAACGAAGGGCTAACGGAGGGCTTACGCTCGAAGCGTCAGCTTTAAAACTCTTTGCAGTGGCCAATTTACGTTACCAACTCAGCTGGTAATACAAAATTACCTTGTTTTATTCTCCCACCGACGCAGCACCACAATTTCTTTAGAAACCTACCCCCTGTAATCATGATACACTGTAAGTTGTACAGACTTTTTCGGTCGCTTGTAAACATGATACCCAACCAGTTTAAACCTTTTCTCATTAACATCTGTCAGCACATTTCCCATATTGTTCTCCATTTATCTCCCAATAAAATGCTTAGGGTTAGGGTCATCTGTGATTCAGACAGATGATGTTGTGAGGAGAATTAAGATGCAAGTCACTCTTACGGGTCAAAGGCGTAACGCACTGATTTGGTCGTTTGCAAAATTTATTCTGTCATTTGTGTGACTCATTTGATTTAGTGGGTTGTAAAAACTAACGCTTCAAACGCTTCTGGTCGTCTTCCTATAACTATATGCAGAGTTGTTTTATTCGTGCCAGGCTGGATTTCCTTTTCTTTCTCCCAACAGAGAGGCGGTAGCCGCACCCCTCGCTTGCCAGTACAATTAGACCAGTGACTGACTCTCTGACTTTTGGAGGAGGCTCATGGATACAATTCTCTTCCTGAAGTACTTCTCCTTCACTGGTGAGTGTAAAACCATGTTTCTACGAGAAACATGGGTTAAATTACATCAATTTGATATTGTACTAATCATGATAATCAAACTTCAAAAAAACTTGCAAAAATTTTGTTTGGTTCCCAAAACACATGGCAAATTTTTATATTTTCAACTGGTGCTCTGATTTAATGGCCATCTAGTTCCCTAATCTGTGCCAAAACTTGAAGCCAAAGGCTACCAAGATTTCCACAACTTATCCTGATTTCTGCTAAAAATAAGTAATAGTGCTGATACTGCTTGTGCTCCAGAGTGGATTGCTGACAATACACCTCAAAAAGAAAAAAGAGAAAAGTTTCTCTTCTAGGACCACAACAGCATGACCTCTGCTGAGGTTCCACCTAAAAGAGTTGATCTTAATTCTGGTATATTTTCAACTGGTGCTCTGATTTAATGACCAACTAGTTCCCTAATCTGTGCCAAAACTTGAAGCCAAAGGCTACCAAAATTTCCACAACTTATCCTGATTTCTGCTAAAAATAAGTAATAGTGCTGATACTGCTTGTGCTCCAGAGTGGATTGCTGACAATACACCACAAAAAGAAAAAAGAGAAAAGTTTCTCTTCTAGGACCACAACAGCATGACCTCTGCTGAGGTTCAACCAAAAAGAGTTGATCTTAATTCTGGTATCCCAATTTTTCTTCTGTGGCTGTTGTACTCTGATAAGTAACATTTGCCTGTTTATGGTAATAAGAGGCAACTAGAAATACTCACTGAAGCAGAGAGAAAATTCTCTGTCTGATGTGGCAACTTGAAAGAAGTTTGATCTGTGGGATACAGGTATACATATATGTCAAAGCGGAAAACTTGTGATTTAGCTCACAGAAGAAAATTAAAGGTAAAATTAAAAACACATAACACAAAATATATTAAAGTTCACACGGCAACCAGGTGGACAATCAGACATAGTTTGATGCTACTCTGGTTTGCAGATTTAATGAATGTAACTGAAGAAGTTACAATTCATAGACCCAACGTTTCGACACTCCTGTCTAGTGCCTTCATCAGGGGTGATCTAAATGCTGCAACAAGAGGTCCTTTATATGATCACTAATTACAATGGTGGCTTGCTTCCTGACGCCTATTTACACCTCGTCAGAAAAAAAAAGGCTTCTAATTAGAAGAAGCTATCAGAAGAGAAGGTGAGAATGGTAACCTGACAGGCTGTGTTTTCATCGATCTATCCAAGGCGTTTGACACCATCAGTCACTCTGGCCTCCTGAGCAAGCTTTCAACTTACGGAGTTCGTGGAACAGAACTCGCATGGTTCACTGATTACCTTTTCTGCAGATCACAAGTTGTCCAATATAAAGGCGTGCTATCAGAACCTCAACCCATTCTCACAGGTGTTCCTCAGGGAAGTATCCTGGGTCCTATCTTATTCATTATCTTTTTCAACGATGTACATAAACCGCTTCAACACTCGAAGATTATCACTTATGCCGACGATTCAGTCATCTATACCTCTTCTAAAGATATTGATACTATACAGAGAAGCCTTAGCGAGGATATGAATAACCTGTGCGAGTGGTTTAAAGACAACGAACTGATCATTAACCTAAAAAAGGACAAGACGGAGTCTATGTTATTTGGAACAGCTAAAAGAATCAACCTTCAAGACAAGGAACTTAAACTTTCTGCTAATGGGTCACTCATCAATAATACCTCTACCTATAAGTACTTAGGTGTTCACCTTGACTCATCACTAAACCTCGCATCACATTTTGACCGAATCTATAAAAAAGCTGCAACCAGAATCAATCTCTTGCGATCAATTCGTCCTTTGATCGACCAAAAGTGTGCAGAATCGATCTATAACACTATGATCGCACCTATCTTTACCTATTGCGGAACACTTGGTCTTAGCTTTCCGGATTACCGAAAGGAAATGATAAAGAACATCGAACGTCGAGGCTTTAAAGTTATCGGCAATAGTTCTTTTAATCCCCCATCCGTGAACAATTTGATCAAGCGTAAAAGCTGTCTGTTTGTTTTCGACTGTCTCCTGAATAATGTTTGCACACCCTTTAAGAACTACTTCGAAAGGCTGGTTCATTCTAAGGCCACTAGGAATAACGGTATATCAGTGAAATTACCCAAAGTTCGTTTAGAATTTGGTAAAAAGAGCTTCTATTACCAAGGAGCAAAGACTTTCAACAACCTGCCTGCTGAACTAAGGTCGTTAGATTCGAGACTGAAATTTAAGAACAAATTGCGAGATTATTATAGTTAAATTCTATCTAAACGTGGTTATAGGTATCCTTTTCAGAGCATTTTTTTATTTAATTTTTAATTTTTTTTCATTTTATTGTATGCTTTTCTAGACCTTAAGATCAATGATTATATCTTGCTAAATTTTATTTTATTTATTTATTTATTATTTTTGACAGGACCCCAAGGACAACAGTGTTACACACTGATGGGTTTTTCAATCCTGTATAAAAATTCGTTATTATTATTATTATTATTATTATTAGTGATCATATAAAAGGACCTGTTGTTGCAGTGTTTAGATCACCCCTGATGAAGGCACTAGACAGGAGTGTCGAAACGTTGGGTCTATGAATTGTAACTTCTTCGGTTACATTCATTAAATCTGCAAACCAGAGTAGCATCAAACTATGTCACATAACACAACTTTTATATCATAGATTTTGCTTGTTTCCTTTACTGTGCAGTAACACCTAGCTAGAAATTGACTATTTGAAAAAACAAGTTATGTACGGTGTGTACCCATAATTCACTCACACCAATCTATAATCGGCGACAAAATTGTTGACACATCAACTTTTTTAATCCCCTATTTCTTTTTAGGTACTATTTACTTCAAAAAGTATTGGTGCTACTCTACATGCTGTCATTATAACTCAGCATGCTGACAAGGTGGACCTCGGTGGTGCTGTATTGTGTAATAGTTCCTACGTCACTGAAGCATTTGCAGCAATTAGCTCCACTCAAGTGAGATAGCCATGATACTTCTTGACGTAAGGGTGAATCTAGATTCAATTGGGAATGGGGAGTTCCAGAATGTTTACTACAATAAATTTATCGTCTGTTGTGCGTGGCAGTTATTTTGTCCAGCCTAGAAATTTTACCAAAACAACAAATGAAACACACGTTTCAGGCTTGCGTTTTCAGCGCAGGGTTGTTCATTTTCTTCTTCTTCCTCTTCTTCGAACTCTTCATCGTCTTCTTCATCTTCAGAAGACAACTTGTTGACTGCATCAGCTGTAACACGGAGGGCTTCGCGAATGCGCTGGATGTCATCCACAAGTAGCTCTCTTTCACTTACGTCGCCTTCATCGGGCTGAAGAGTACTCATGTCACTTTCTTTCCGAACTTTACTGGCTGCAATTTGTTGATAAAACGAGGTGAACTCTCCATCTGAACGATTGTTGGAGAAAGACACAACGACCCGGTTACGTCCAGCTGCCATATTAGAAACAACCTCACTTTCAGGGTGCAAAAGAAACGTGGGAGAGTAGTGATACGTGAGTGAGTGTTATTGTGTTGTCGCGGATCTAAGGGAAAACTAGATGAAAAATGACTATTGTGTGCTTTTTTTCTTGCTTCTTGTACTTTTTATAATTAATCACAGGGAAGAAAAATGCTTTTTTAGTTTGCGCAACACGTGCCGAACCTTCTCGCGGGAGTTGGTGAAGGGAGTGGGTAGGGTTAGGTTTTGTCGGGTTTTAAACCTGTTACCAGTCCTTTTGAGCTTTTAGATGTGAACGTTTGAATTAATATTTAGTAAAATTTTAGGAAATATCCATGGTTTTGCTGTAACTGAAGAAGAAGACAAGATGAAAATGTTTTCCAGTGTAGTTTTTGTTTAATATTCTGCTACCTGGAGGAAAACTGCAAAAATTGTACTCGTGAAACATAAAAATTTGCTAATCAGGAAAATTATTTCAGTATAAATGGGCCTGTTGGTTTCATTCATCCCAATCAACACTCAAAGAAAACCAGCCTGACATATGACTTTTTTTATTATTTAAGTTCATTTATGAACTAATTTTTCCCTGCGACTAAAATGAATCTTCGATCTAATACTGAAGCAGCCATTACTGTTGTGATCCTATTTCCGGACGGTTCATCACAGAGAGAGAAAAGAACTTTGAAAATACTGTGTACAAGGTAGAACTTGGATATCAGTTTCCTTACGAAGTTAAGCAAAAGTTTTAAAAACTAACTTTTCTTCCAACAATAGTTGAATTTCAATACTTTGACTTGAACTGATGATCAAAAATAGCTCATAAGGGTCTTAATGGGGTGATGGCTTTTACAGCTAACTAACGGTTAAAATTTTGGCCATTTTGCAGCTAACGGTTAAATTCTTTCCGTATCCATCAAGAAAAAAAATTTTAGGATTAACTTTTTTACGACTAGCAATCAAAATTTTTCAATTTTTACGCCTAACGGCCACAATTTCTTTTTTAACGCTTCAGACCCTTTCATAGTGGGTTATTTTTTAACAGACATGATGTAATAATAAGACTACCCACGTGACTAGTTAAAATTGGACAAATCTAAAGGGAGGAGCATCCTACTTTCGGAGTTCGCTTGTAGCATCTTTCGCCTCGGCCAACCCTCTAACCCACAAGATTTAGATATTAATTCTCTGCACCATCTACCATACATTTCTTATCATTTAGGGTGTAAGAATTTGGTGTCAAATTAAACTATTTCCCAAATGCTTCTTGGATCTTCTTTGATTTTAAAGATATAGTGATTTTGTGATGGAGACAAATGTTATTTTTACCCTATCTTGGAGATGGAACAGTCGGAAAACATAAACCCTACCTTACACGATTTGTAAACTGAATATCAGTTTACGAATACACACGAGACTCTAATGATGGTGACAGTCCTTCTCAGGACTACTCCAACCCTGACGATCAGATTACAAGATCAAATGTTACTCTTGGGTCCACACAATTTATTTAAGATCCTTGAGATTTCATTAACAATAGTCAAATAAAGAGGAAATTGTTGGATCGCTCTCATAACTCATTACTCTTGTTTTCAGCGCTTCCCCACCCCCACCCTTACTCCGAATCACCTTCTTCTTCTGGCGCCGTGAACATCATTTACGCCAGGAACATCATTTACGAGTATGTAAGTCGACTTATATTCTAAAGTTGCATGCCACCTTTGTTCCTCGTTTCGTCCGCCTCTCTTATCGCCGTTTGAAGTTTGCAGGTCTGATTTTCATCTCTGATGTTATGGGAGCGCGAGTAGGATCTGTAAGATCAAATTTTCCCCAATGAATCTTTGCACCTTCTTTGCCTCCATAAATTGCGTCTTCTTTCCATCCATAAATTCCGTTTAGATTTGAACCAATTTCACAGCCTTCCGGGAACCACCAGCTTTCTCTTACTTTTCCGGGACAGTTGTAATGCTTTTGATTCCAAGTGCTAAAATTTGAGCCATTATGAGCACTGAGAGAATCATGGACAGTCGCTTCTGTTAAAAAATTAATATCCACTCATAAATTCTTTGAAGCTTCAGCTCAATTTTTGTCACGATGAAAATAGAATGGGAAAAAAAGTTTTTTTTAATCTCGAGAAGATGAGTAGGGAAGGAAAAGAAAAACGTGAATATGAGCACTGCTACATTGAGCTTTAATACTTGCATTAGAGATCAGATTTTCAGACCCTTTGCTGAGTCAGGGACTCGTTAAAGGACATACTACACGAAATCTATTCATTAATGTAACAGCACATATCCATGCGGTAATATGCTCACAAAGTACTTAGTCTAGATGAAAACGTTTACAAGAAAAAATAATCGAGGTGATGTATTGTTAAAAAGTTCATATGAAGATAAGTTCGATAATAGCGATGGCTATAACTGAGCTCTCGTAGTCGTTTTGTTGATACTCGATGGACCAAATTCATCTTCTCTATCCTCTGGCTTTGATTTCAAGACCGAGAAAACTGAAAGGTGCTACAATCATTTTATTTTTCTTTTCCTCCAGAAAATTGTATGCTTTTGCTTCACTGTTTCATTAATTGTGACGCAACGAAGCTACCTGTCATTAAATATTGCTTTTATTGACTTATAATAGTGTGGTTTGATCGTCCGGGTGAGTGTAGTCCTGAGAAGGACTGTTGTCGGTAGTGGTGACTGACGTTTCGACAACCTGAGCGGAAGTCATCATCAGAGTCAAGTGAAAGGTTGTTGTCAGTCGAATGTACTTAGTCCGGTTTGTGTGTTTGTGTGTTTGTGTAAGTATATTCGACTGACAACAACCTTTCACTTGACTCTGATGATGACTTCCGCTCAGCATGTTGTTTTTCTTCTCTTGAGTCAGCCGGTGGACCTTATCCAGTCCAAGCCAAAATTCACCAGCGAGGAAACTTCCAAAACCATGTTTGTAGTGAGACCAACTGCGGTTGAAATCGACGGAACCATTTAGTCTTCTCTGGAACACCGTCCAGCCTCCACCGTCTGTTGTCTGATCACAATATACATCAAAGGCTTCTGAGTTGTCAGTTTTGATTGTATAAATACCACTGATTCTCTGACCAGATCTGTGCAGCTCAGCACAATTTTTAACTGTTGAAGAAAAATACGAAAGTTTCGTCAACAAAGTTGCACGTAAATGAGCAGAATGGAAATAAAAAAGCCGAGGATCGTAGATGAGAAAGGAATCTGACTTTCGTCGACCACATCCTATGCCTCTCTGTGACGACTGTCTTTGAGCAAATTTTGATTTAGCCTTAGTGTTAGTGCGCAACCTCGCACATGTATGATTTGCCTACGCAGCCTGTAATTGATGAAATTGATACAGAGAAAATTGAACGAGTGGTAATTTAGCTTGTCATCACAATGGTGTAAGAAGGAAATCTTACTTACATGTACGCGCTGAAGCTGAGATTAGAATCACCAACAGTATTGCCCCGAACAGCCAATAAGAAACTCTGAAAAGGGAATTCATCTTATATAATGTGAAGCTCTCTCTTGCTTTAAGCAACTAAAGGTTATAGTTATAGTTATAGTCTGGTTTGGAATTGATAACATATTTAGGCCATTGCATCAAAAGCTATTTTTGGGGGTGCCAAACATCAAAACTTAGTGAAAGAGTCTCCAGAATTGTCTGGATCGACCATACACCTTACCGTGAGCGATGCGCTTAAGCCAGAGTTCTTGCGGTGGGGTAGAATTTGTCAATCAAAATCAGTGGCTTTTACGCATTACCGGCAGGAAGAATGAAACATCTTACAAGCAAAATTGATCTCTACTTGATCCCTACAGTCAATTAGCGTTTGAAACTAATTGAAGCAGTGACCAAAACCAAGAAGTTGCACATTGTCGGAAGAATATTTCGTATTAAAAGTCACAAGAAAGTTCTCTTGTTGACTGTTGTGCTGATAATCGAATACCTATGCTGTGCTACATTGAAAAAGATAAACATTACTGGTATTTAATAATTACTAGTAGTTATTGTCATTGAGTTCTCCCACGTCATTTCCTCTGCTAGATAATTTGACTTTAATTGTTACCGAGGGATTATAAACTGGGTCATGGGGATAAAGTTATCTCAGTTTATAATTTCTTGTAATCACTTAAGATTAACAAAGATGAGTAAGCCGCCGCCAGGAGTTTTATGATGTCGACCTTTCCAGAGTTATGCTTAACGCGGGTGTTGATTCTTTTTAAAAGCTAAATACTTTTCTAATTGCTAGAAAGATACTTAATCAGCTACATTCTTTAAAGATACTTAATCAGCTAAATACTTTAAATATATTTTTTTCAATAACCCTTTGGTGGTCTTAAGTAGATATATCTCAGTCACTTGTTTACACTTGTTCGGTTAACTGTGAACATCACTAAGTCAATTTGTGTCATAAATAAATATCACTACGCAACTTGGCGTTATTGAAATATCACCTGGTTGGTTAGGGGGACTTATACAGTCACTTAGAAATTTTACTCAGTCAGCTGTACGTACTTTTTTTAGTCAGCTGCAAAAATTAACTACAAATAGTTTTCTCTCATTTGATTATCGTCATTGCGTTGATGTTGGGAAATCTTGAATACCAAGGACAGTCACACTTGTTGTGGAATATTTCGTATTAAAAGTCACAAGAAAGTTCTCTTGTTGACTGTTGTGCTGATTCATCATATCTCTGCTAGATAATTTGACATTAATCGTCATCGAGGGATTATAAACTGGGTCATGGGAATAAAATTATCACAGTTTATAATTTCTTGTAATCACTTAAGATTAACAAATATGAATAAGCCGCCGCCAGGAGTTTTGTGATGTTGAACTTTCCAGAGTTATGCTTAACGCGGGTGTTAATTCTTTTTAAAAGCTAAATACTTTTCTAATTGCTAGAAAGATACTTAATCAGCTACATTGTTATTCTGATACCTCGACTGAAGGGTTTAGGGTCCAAACATCACCTAATGTGATTGTCCAAGGGCAATTGGAAGAGCAGACGGAAGTCTGGATAACTAGAGCTAAATCAAAGTGCTCCGTGAGCAAACTCGTGAATTGACACATGATTTTTTTGGATTATGTTTAATGTTATCTGGTTTAGGGAATTTTGTGGTTGATTGTCATATCTAGAGTACGAGCAGTAGGTCAGTGTTCGCTAACGTAGCTAAGAAACAAAGTAACGTTGGGATAAGAAGGCATTACAATTGAAATGATCATGCTATTACATTTGACAAGGGTGGATGATGTCATGTGTTTTAAACGTATATCATTTTCGTTTCTGGTTCAAAAGAAAAGGTTGGAAGTGAATGTGGGTGAAAAGTGAAATTTACTGTCTATCATTGTAAATATTACAAAATCAAGGCAATACTGTTTTAATGAAAACATTAACGATTCCCTCTTTATCGAATGAGACAAACGGGAACTAGTTTTGAGTGATATAACTAAGCCAAGACTGCCACCGTCATTTTGGATCTCTGCCCGGGTAGATTTTAGTCACGTGCTAGGCAACGTGTAATCAAGTAAAAGATAGAATTTAATTTCAGGCCTATTTGTCAATTTTGTGGTGTATAACTTTCGCATTTTAGTACGTAATATTTATTTTGAATCTTCAAATTGTCTTGAAACTTAAGAGAAAATTGTTCATTAAAAATTCACTGAAAATCGGTACCTAAAATTGTTTGTTTAAGTGTTATTTGATTTTCGTGTTAACTTGTAATTTCGTCAGTCGCCGGCACCTTCTGTTGCTTCACACAGGAAAAACACACGATACGAAACGTAATGATCGCTTTTGTCCTCAATCTCATGCCATAACAGAAAAAGCTTTTGTACATCTGTAAACTCCGAGCACTTCGCAGTAAGTGATATTTTCAATGAATCTTCGGATTGTTTTCAAGTTCAAGAATTGTAAATTACAATTTTATGAAAAACGAAGGTTGTTCTGTTATTTCTGTGTGAATCCTTGCATGCCTGCCAGTTGCTGGCGCCGCTTGTTGAAACTAAAACGAAAAAAAAAACTCTTTTAAGATTACCATTGGCTTCTTTTTCACCCCACCACTATTCTTAACAACAAAGGTTGCCATTTCGTTTGTTTATTGCTCGCCAAAAACTATCAAGTGCACTCAAAAGCCTAAAACCGAAAAAAAGTTTACAGGAATCGACCAATCGAGCGAGCGAGCGAGTGCCATTCTCTACATCATATCTACAACTCACTCTTGCGCAATTCACGAATTAAAAATGTTACTTCTTCCTGACAAAAAAAAAACAAACAAAAAACAAAAAAAACACACACACACAAGGATAATAAGGGTAGTAATAATTGTTCCATTTTTCGTTCCATGATAACACTTCCTACAACTTGAGAATTTTTTTCCGTGGTCGTTTTTTCCCACATAAGCTAGACCAACAATTCATAAATATGAAGCAACTGCGTCTAGAATGCAGAATGCAGAATGATATCGCTCTTATCATGGTTGTTACTAAAGACTAAACGTTCTCCACTTTATTTTCTTCCTTTCGCAGTCTTAGTAAAATCGATGCTTGACATACAAAGAGATCCTACATTTTTTAATAACCCTTTGGGGGTCTCTATAAGATATATCTCAGTCACTTGTTTACTTGTTCGGTCAACTGTGAACATCACTAAAATAAACATCACTCCGAAACTTGGCGTTATTGAAATATCACCTGGTTGGTTATGGGGACTTAAACAGTCACTTAGAAATTTTACTCTGTCAACCGTACTCACTTTTTTAGTCAGCTGCAAAAATTAGTTAGTTTATACTTTATATTTGATAAAATGTAAGACACCACTCCAGTAGCTTGTTTTATCACATGGCACGGGAACGGTCATAAGCCGTGTATTTTTGGTCACGAAAGCTAACAAACTACTTACTTACCTATAACCAACATTCCTTAGTACGGCCCTCGGTTAGTAAGAAGTTGCTATTCACTTACTGGGTCGGTTGTTATCATAGTACTTTGTCAATTGAAATAATTAGCTTGGTTACTCTTTCTGTTGTAAGAAATAATTAGTATGTTTTTTCTGTCCGTTATGCGAACTTATTCGGTCGGTTGTAATCTTGATAAGGCAATTTAGTATTACCAACTGAGTTGAGAACGTAAGTTGGCAACCGTTGACTTGAGAGTTTCAAAGATGACGTTTCGAGGGTAAGTACTTCGCCAGAGCAAATGACGAAGGGCAAACGAAGGGCTAACGGAGGGCTAACAGAAGGCTTACGCTCGAAGCGTCAGCTTTAAAACTCTTTGCAGTGGCCAATTTACGTTACCAACTCAGCTGGTAATACAAAATTACCTTGTTTTATTCTCCCAGCGACGCAGCACCACAGTTTCTTTAGAAACTTACCCCCTATAATCATGATACACTGTAAGTTGTACAGACTTTTTCGGTCGCTTGTAAACATGATACCCAACCAGTTTATACCTTTACTCGTTAACATCTGTAAGCACATTTCCCATATTGTTCTCCATTTATTTCTCAATAAAATACTTAGGGTTAGGGTCATCTGTGATTCAGACAGATGATGCTGTGAGGAGAATTAAGATGCAAGTCACTCTTAGGGGTCAAAGGCGTAACGCACTGATTTGGTCGTTTGCAAAATTTATTCTGTCATTTGTGTGACTCATTTGATTTAGTGGGTTGTAAAAACTAACGCTTCAAACGCTTCTGGTCGTCTTCCTATAACTATATGCAGAGCTGTTTTATTCGTGTCAGACTGGATTTCCTTTTCTTTCTCCCAACAGAGAGGCGGTAGCCGCACCCCTCGCTTGCCAGTACAATTAGACCAATGATTGTCTCTCTGACTTTCGGAGGAGGCTCATGGATATCGACTTGCTGATCTATGAGAGGCAAATAGGAAGTAGTTAAATAAAAAGTCAAAGAGACTAGCAGTGATTTAGATGGTTGAAGGCACATGCTTACTAAAGGAAGCAAAAAGCGTCATCTAATTATGTGTAATTACAGTTATTTCTGTTTGAAGCCAATAGACTTTCAGGGGCTGGAGCATCAAATTGCGTGACGAGCCCTTTTCATATAAATGGGGAATCAGAGTTTTTGAAAATACCTTTAAAAGACGTCGATCCCACAAAAATGCACCAACTGCAAAAACAGATGCAGATACCACGAAAGCGATCGCAGTCAGCTGAAAAATTGACAATCCAGTCCTTCTTGCCAGTGTTTGTGATTCAGATTTCAGATCTGGAAAAGGAAAATAATCTGCTTATAACAAAGCTATCAATTCTACAAAAATTCAATTACTTTGCTTCTTTTCAGCTCTCTTTAAATCACCAACTACTAATCAGGAAATTCTGCCCATCTCAGGCACAGGGGACGTCCTTCTAGCAATTTGATAAGTTTTCACAGGAACAGAGAGTTATTAGATATTAGTTTATGTAGGGAAGTAACCATGGTGGTCAGACACAATGAACATAATTAAGACAGACTTTAGAAGTGCTTGAGACTATCGACGTTGCTGTCAGAATTGAGCCTATTTTCTTTTGTACTTACTCTTAATGCATCTATTTGATCAAACTTTGTAGAATGTTGATGTCTGTGTCGAAACATTAGTTTAAATACAGAAGGCACAAAAGCTAAATCGCACAAAAAGCTAAATCCATGATTTTATTACCTAAATCATTGACATGTAAGTTGACCTCGATTGATGCTTTTTCCCCTGCTATGTTACTTGCAGCACATTGATATTTGCCCCCATCCTCCTTCTTCACTTTTTCTATAAACAGTTGGTAATGAGTGGTTTGGTCACGTCGATCTCGAGTGATCATTGTCTTTGAAGTAGATTGGACATCATATGAATTGTTGTTCTTGATCCACCTGACGGTTGACTGAGGATGACCAGTGGTAATACAATTCAAAGTAACGTCAGAACCGATGACAACACTTAGATTCCACCGATCTTCAACAACTTGAGTTACAGTTTGAGTGCCTGATGGGTGGAAGTTGGTCCCTGGGGTGGATTGCGTTGAATGCCGATCATTGCCCCCTTCACGTGAGATGCTTGGCTTGGGATGAATCTTGGCGGTGCAGATTAAAGTTACAGTAAAACTGACAACAGCGCTTTGGTTCGTGGGATCTTCCACATTTTGAATAGGTTGGAGGTCTGAGGAATGACAGTGAGGCAATTATTGTTGCTATGATAGCTGCAGCTTCGCAAACTCTCTTGCAAATAGACTAGAAGGAAGGAAGACACGCCTAAGGAGTGGCTTAAGGCAATTAAAAAGCTGGAAACGAGTCCTACCTATTTCCAAAGGTACTTGGCAAGTGACAAATCAACAGTTATTTCTCATATTTTAAAACAGGAAGGATCATAAGTTGTTGCTGTCATAAAATTTCCCTTCCACGTCCTTTTTTGCCTTCCTCTTCAATTTTTTCTCTTTTCTTTTCATTTTGTACGGTGATTTTTTTTCCATCTCACCATACTAATATTCTGTTCGTCACTTCAGGTTGAAGCTAATTTTGTTTCATAACCTTCCTTTTGACGAGACATAGTTACAAAGCTTTTCGGATAAATCATCTGCACAGTTTTTAAGAATAAATTGTCATTTTCGGGCGCAAAAAATGAATGCCTCTTACCTAAATCCTCTGTGAATAAGGAAGACACTCTTGATACCCTTTCTCCAGCGCTGTTATTAGCCACGCAGTTGTATTTGCCAATGTCTTCCATCTTAGTTCCTTTTAACAAGAGCTGACTGCGAACGGTTTTGTTGTCTAACAAAATAACCTTCTCCTCTACCCTTGGGTTGGTTTGTAAAGCATATGGATCATCGTTCTTCACCCAAGAGATGGTTGGCCTGGGATGACCGGTGGCAGTGCAATTGAAAGTTACGCTGGAATTGATAAAAGCACTTTGGTTCTTTGGATATTCAATAATTTGAATGTTTTGGGCTCCTGCAGAACAAAAGTGAGACAGTCGTTAAAGATTATTTTTGTGAGAACAAAAATACTTAAAGAAAAGTGGCATTGAAGGTTTTTAAGGGTTGGTTGAAGTGAAGGTAGGCATCTGGACCCTCTATCACTCGTTCTGTTGTATCGTCAACAGCTTGCATAATACGTAAGAAAAGGTCAGACATTTAGTCATTAGACACTGAGATCAAGAGCGAAAATGTCCTCTTGAGTTATTTTCCATCAAATTTTATGTAGCCATATATTTTTTACAATATTCCGTTAATATAAGAATTAAAATTTTGTGGCTTAGAGAGACCAACCCAAGGGTAGAGGAGAAGGTAATTTTTAATAACAACTAAGAAACTGACAGCTAATAATAAAAATCTCATGTTGACATGACATGATGGACTGCTGATAGAGTTGTTTCTTTTCTATCTTTTTTTTACTCGACCCGTCTTATTCAAATATTTTTCATGTATCTTTTTCCTGCTTTGTTGTTTACCTTCAGGACGAATTTCGACTGATTCTCTCCTGCAGTGGGCACGATAACCATTTCCTGCTTCACACGTGTAGCTTCCAAGTTGATCTGCCGTCAGTTTTTCGATCATTAATGTGCATCTATGTTTTAACACCATGTGTCTACCCTGTACACATCTGTATCCAGCTGGCTTGTCCTGTGGATCGTACCACTGAATATACTCGGTCCATCGATCGTAATATCCTGCATCAATACTTCTGGGCTGCGCCGTACAGGTCAGGTTTACCGCTGTACCTACGGATAATTCTTGCCTTGGTGGATTTATGGAAATCTCTACATCAGGTATTACTGGAGGAGGGAGAAAGATAGTCCATTAAACATATGTTACATAGAGAATTTGTTAGGGGCCATTCTGAACTTAAAAAGATAGATTGCCAGTTCGAGAAAAACTCAAAATACCTCCGTTACTTACTAGTCAGTTTAGTGTTGCAGTTCATGCCCGCGGCTTGAGGGAGATTCAAGAGACCGCTCGTCACTATAAGGACCACCAGAAAAGGTTTAGAGGCATCATCCGGCCAAGTATTGATTCCCATCAGTACACTTTGGCGAGTAAATGTGAGTCTTGTTCAAATAGCCTGTAAGGAAGATTGCTCGAGTAATAAAGAAAAAACGTAGCATTCTTAAGGGCGCATAGCGGTTGGATTTTGAATAAAAATTGAAAATTTCACTTATTTTTTATTTCCTCTTAAATGATTCTCAGATAATGTTTCAGATAATATATGTTTTTTTAGCTTTTTTATTCATGCACCGCTAAAAACAGCCCCTTTAAAGGCCAGTACGTTGCTTGTTTTTGGTTGCCATGACAACCACAGGTAATCCAATCGTTTTGGCACGTTTCATTTCTCCAAAATGGTACCAAAACTAAGTCCATTCGATCCTGAGACCCTTAAGTCCAGCCCCACATTCTTAAATTAAAATTTCCACCAATATGAAGCCCGGTTACAAAGCACTCAATCTTCACAGATCGAGCGTGAGTGTCCATCTTGTCTTCTTGCCCGTAAACCGTGCCAAAAGTTGGGGAAAAAACAGTCTCTTTTAAGGAATTATGCTTTAAAAAGAAAGAAAGGTTTTAAAGGAACCCAGAAGCAGGAAGTAGCGCAGAAGAGAAGGAAAGAAACGCGAGCTGTAGAGGTCACCTTCGTTAGAGAAGATGATGTTGTCAGCGAGCAAATTCTGGGGTCTGGGGCTGTCCTGGTGTACCGGTACACGGGGGAATTCCTATTGTTTTCATATCCATACATGGAGTTGTGACGCAGTTCGTTAATGTTTCGTTCCTTTGTGTACCGGTACACGAGGACACAACCAAATTCTGCCCCTCGCAGAATCTGCTTCCAAACGGAAAATACAGCCAAACGACGATGAAAGCTCCTCGAATGAACGTATTGAAGATCATCTGGCGCCTGCCGAAAGGATACAGACTTGTTTCAATGGACAGTCTTCTTAAATTTGTGAAGAGAATTTACGAATAAACTCCACGTAATTTAGTTAAGAGTTACGTGAGTTAAATTTTAAGGCCTTTGAACTAAGATATAAAAGCTGTTTTTCTGGATCAATGCTGGACCAAAATTACTACAGTTATATCCCTTTATTAATAAAAGCGTTGATTGTCTTTATGGATCTACTAGGCCAAATACAGATATTGAAGAGTTCCTGTTACCAGTTTGGAATTGGTAGCTCACTTTATGTCAAGTGCAGTGGTTGGGGCACTCTGAGTTTCTTGCAACTGGTAGCCACCCTCAAGATGATGTTATCCTAGAGCTCTTCAAGGAAAAGATGTGAACAGAAGAATGGAGTTTGCTGTATTTGAGAGTGGGAATGGGAGAGAAGAAGTTGCCAAATTTTGTGAGGTGTACAATATGCCAGCCATGAAGACGCCCTTAGTCAAGCCTTCCAAGAGGAAAGAAGCAAACAGCTACAAAAGAACTGTGCAGGCACAGGTAGAAGGAAGTAAGACAAAGAAACAGTGGAAGAATTCAGCAAGCATAGCACAGAGCTCAAGAAAAACACAAACAATATAGACTTGCACGAAGACAAGCTTAGCAGAGAGAAGAAGACCTGTGTTTAACCTGTGGAAGGCATAATTTGAAGCTGGAGACTTTGACAAAACACAGCTCTGCAGAGTGGGTTAAAAGAGAGAGAACCAAAGAACCTAAGCATACCTTCAAGTAGGTGTGCTGTGATGTACAAAAGGCCATTTTATGGAGTCTTTAGTCTTACTAATGACATTTAGAAAAAACTGAAGTTTTAATTGCATTTTTCCGAAAATAGCTTTTTTCGGGGTAATTTTGTCGGCCCCTCAAATTTCTTGAAGAGTATTTCAGCTACTGACACCAAATTTGGTACAAAGATTGTTTTTGTAATTATCTGCAATGTAATTGAGTAAAATTTATTTTTCTGAAATACAACTGATTTTATAAGTAATTTGTCTTTTGCAAAATCTAATTGGTTACCATGACAACCAAAATGGTCAAAAGGGAATAGCTCTCAATAAGGTTGCAGCCCATTTGATAATGCTTTATCATACCAAAAATTAGGTGATTATTTTAAAAGGAAATGACAAAAAAGTGGAGGGGGGGGGGGGGGGCCCAATTTGACCCTCAGAATAGCCCTTCACAGTAACTTGTTAAAATATGTTTACTCAAAAAATGTCATGTTGTAGGCAGTTGCTTGGGTGTATCTCTTGCCAAGTTTGAGGTGATTTGATTGAATTGTCGATTAAATATGATTTTTTAAGTAAGTTACCAAAATCTTACCATAAACCAACCGTAATGCCCTCTTAAAATAGTGAAATGTCAGCGTCATGATCATGATCTCTTTTTTTAACATAAGTGGTTGAGAATAATTACTGACGCCCGGGGAACGCAATAACGGTCAAATCGTTGAAATTTTTTTTTTAAAAAGTAAAGAACAAAAGAAAACCAAAAAAACAATGACGACGAAAAAAGAAAAAAAAAAAAAAAAAAACAGATTCGGAAGAGTGTCAAACTTAGTTGACTCTAATAACATGATTATGGTGAGCTAAGTTGATTATAGTAAATAGATTATATTCGCTCAGTTTGATACCTTTCTTTTTTAAGAATACCATGCAGCTACATTACCGATATTTTTTATATCTTCTTGTTCTATTTTTGATTTTTCGAGTTAACATTTACTCTGTGTCAATTGAGAAATAAGCTTTGGACAGCCTATGTAGTCTAGAAACACAGACAAGTTTGGGCGCTAATTGTACATGAATTTAGCTTTTGTACTGGCAGCAGTAGGAGTTTAAGAAATCCTACACCGTGACTTTTGTTAACTTGCTTATTGTGGTAGCTAGTCTTCCAGAAAAACTCAGCAGAATATCATCAAAAGAAAACAGCAAAAAACTACAACTTTGACAATCATTAGCGTAGGGAATATTTGCTGTAAAAAGCCCTAAAGAAAAAGCTGACTGGCTATCAAGTGAACCTCAGTAAACCCAAATGTAGTTTTGACGGGTATTGTCGCCCTTGTCGGTTTGTAATTAGCTTCGACGGCCATTTTCTTCTTTCATCTTCTCGTTCTTACTCAACAGATTAAGACGTCTTGATCGTCCATTAATAAGCTTCGACGGCGATTTTCTTTTTCATCTTCTCGTTCTTACTCAACAGATTGAGACGTCTTAATCGTCTGTTAAAATACCCATTTATGGAAAGGTATGTCACGCGAGGTGCCTGATAAGTGCATTAATGTTCAGAAAAACACGGACCCCAATTTTCTCTTTCGTTGTCAAATACTTGGTAAACAACGCAAACCAGACTAAAAGATGCGTGGCATGCCACCATGTTAATTCTAATGATTCCATGTTAGGTCTCATACCACAGACTTAGAAACAAAATACGAACCAGGTAAGAACTGACGAATTCTTAGAGCGAACAAAGCCTAGAATAAGTTTTAGAGGAAAGATTTTGTTCAGCTCTGTAGAGTGGGATTCAGGGTTAGTGTAAAGAGATATGAAACTTATGATCAATTGCCGCGTGTGAGCCGGGCACTTACCTTGACTGTCCTTCGAGCTCCGGGAAAGTACCGTTGAAGCTGCCTTGAATTACTGGTTTTATACTCCAACCTACAAAAAGTATCATATTTCGAGACGTGGGAGTCGAACGTTCAGATAATTTCGGTTTTTTTGTCAAGGATTACTATGTTAAATCCGGTAATTAAAACATTAGCCACCCTTTCCAGCCGCAAATCTACCACGCACATCGTGACTCAACGCTCCTGTCTTGTTTATCAATTCCAAATCATAACTTTTCCTTTAAAAATGTTGGGCGAATTAGCCTTCAAATAACACATTGCAAGGTAGTCTGGAGAAAAGGTGACTATGTGGGACTGGTCATATTTTTAATTTAAACTAAAATTTACAGAACGATGACGAAGTGACTAGAGAAAGATCAATGACAGTCCTCTATCTACACAGGCAGCCCAAGCTCACGTCTCGAGAAGAAGCAAACTAGTAATTCATGAAAGCGTCACGTGTTGTGTTAAAATATAAGTTAGGAGAGGACGATAAAAATTAGCTCGTCAATAATTAGGCAAGTTAAGATGTAATGCAATCTTTGCTCTGGCATTCTCGGAACTCGTTCAGCTTATCAAAATAAGCAAACATAAGTCCGGAGCATATGTGTCATGTGGGCTGAGAATCAACCCACTCTTTGCACGCTTGAGGTAGAGTTCTTATGATTTCGAAGACGTATATTTTTTTCTAAGATATATATAAAGCGCTATTTCTCCTCTCTCCGTAAGGACTGGACATTAAAAAGTGGTGAAAGACGTAAATCTCCTTAATTGGAATTCAACACTCTGATTCCAACCTTTCCGTTTGGACGAAAAGCTCCCGTTTCCGGGGATCGTTTTCCCCAATGCTCTTCCTTTCTAGCTCATTCATGCTGGAAGCAACGAATGAGATATTGTGGTGAAGCAGATGTTGACGGAAGTTGTCGATTGTGGACGGAAGTTGTATTCCGTAGACGGAAGTTGCATTGTGGACCGTGAAGGGAAGTAGTCTCGCGTGTTACTCCCCGCCCCCACTTAGTGAAAGTCAAAATTAATTTCGATGAAGCTCAAAAACTCACATGGAAAGAAATAAAATGTTTGTATGGTTTAATAAAAATAATAACCTCAAATCACGTTTCCGAACTTCTACAAATACAACTTGTATCGAGTAGCCGAAATGTTCACACCTAATTTCTATATAGAAAAGCGAAGCGTTGCTTTCGTGACTGGCCATTTGTTTACTTTTCCGGTAGTTTTATCCCTCATCTGTTTGGTGACTACGCAAATATTAATATGCGAAAATCAGACTGCATGAAGGCTTGAAATTCTATTAAGAACGATTGTGGCCGCTTTGTTTAAAATCAAATGCAGTGACCACTTTGTTAAAAACAAGAGATATCATAAATCGGGCAAGGAATATTTCATAATAGTGCAAATGATGGTGAAAGATGAGGGCTACTAATGTCTTGCTGTTAGAGCAACATTTGATATCTGATTATGACCACTGGCCCACCCCCCGCCCCACAAACACATACACACACCAACAAAAAGGACACTGTCTGCCTAATGACCTCTACTCATCCCACCTCCAGCCCACACAACGGCTTTTTTCCAATTCCCATCGCGAAGAATGCACACGTTTTCTTATCACACAACTGCCCCCAAAATAAAAGAAATTTATTCTATAAGTCTTAAAAAATCACATAAACTGAATTCAACTGTACCTATATTCAGCAAGTCCAAGAAATCAATATAAACTTAAGCCACGATATGAATGAGCTGGCTCCAAGAGCCCTTTGATTGCTTTTGCTTTGTTTTGTTTTTTTTCCCTTTCCATTGACAAATAAGAATGTTTTTTCTGCTTCACTAAAAGTATTTTTAGCACGATTCTTTCTTGCTCGTGTCCAACCTTCCCCTTTATATTTCAAAGGGTTGAAATCTCTGGCCCCATAACTCTATACTTGAGAGGCTATCTCATCAGATATTTGGCAATGTTTCATACAAGATTTAGAGGGAGTTACTAGTTTTCGAGCTAAGCTCGAGAAGACACTCACGTAACTTCCTTGGTTCTTTCTAAATGCTTCGTAACTTACCTATTTCTTGTAGAATGCTTAGTCAAGACCCATTCCATTCCAGCCGTGGAATTGCATATCTTGAAATAGACACGATTGACTGCTCATCGCTTCCGCTTCGTTTCCGTTTCCTTCAGCGGTAAGTATCGTCGATCATTTACCAAATTTCTTAGTCTGACAATTTAAGCCTTTTCACGGTTTTTGCTTCTTGGCCCTTTGTGCTTACCGAGAAAGCCTTTCTCACCGTAAAAGGGTATTTTCACCGTTGGTTGACAAGTAAGCTTATAGATGTCAACAAACAATGATTTTATCATCACATTATCCGACCCGAAAGTGATTGTTTGGAGAAATGTCACAAGCTTGGGGCATTTGGGAATTATTGGTTCACGTGATGGCTCACCATTGAGTCTACGTGGCTCAATGGTAGAGCTTCCGAGCATGGAATCTGTAGGTGTGAGTTTCGATCCCTCTTGGGGACTCGGAGATGTTTTCTTTGTCCTAACTCCGTGACAAGACAGATAAACATTTCAGTCTGTTCTTTATTAATAATGTTGTTCTGTCGAAAGAGGGAACTCTCTTAGGCGATCAAATAACCATTTGATAACCATCTAATAACCATTTTCAGAGTGACACATTAGTAATGACTGACAATTCGACAAAATAGGCGGAAGTCCTCATCAAAGTCAATTGACTCTGATAACAATGATGATGACAGTCTTCTCTGGATTACTCTTGCCCGGACGACCAGTTTACACGATCAGAAAGTTATTCTTGGGTTCACACAATTTACTGTGGAACTAAGATATTTCACCAATAATGGTCAAATACAGTGTTCCCCTATTAATTTCTCCACCTTTGGTGCATTGTCTAATATTACGCCTTCACTGCTCAGTTCACCCTTACTCCGAATTACCTTATTTTCTTGTATAAATTGCGTGAACTTCATTTTCGCTTTAATCGATTGTTCGCACCTTTGGTCCTGGTTTTATCCGCCACTTTCTTCACCGTATGCCATTTGCTTTTCTGGTCGATCAGGTGTCTTAATCAAGTCATAGGGTCGAAAAGTTCATTTCGAAAGCTCAAAGAAAATTTCACTGGTCTGATTTTCATTTCTGATGTTCTGGAAGCGCGGGTAACATCTTTAGGATCTAAATATCTCCAATTAATCATTCTTGTTCAGTTGTATCCATAAATTCCTTTTCAAGAAAGTTGTATGCTTTATTTATGATCGTGCAACGGAGTTAATTTTCATAGTTGTTTTTGTCGACTTACTTGCAATATTTTCAATGTTCGGTGGGTACTTAGCCGTTTCGTTCGCATTTCGGCTACAAATATTTCTACAAATAGTTTTCTCTCATTTGATTATCGTCATTGCGTTGTCAGTGTTGGGAATTCTTAAATACCAACGACAGCCACACTTGTTGATTAAAAAGAATGTTATAACTTACTGAAATGCTCTGAATCGACCTCATCACTGTAATCCAGAATTGACAAATAGAAATTTAGTGAGATCAACAGTAGTCCTTCAATCAAAAGCGTAAATTCCTTGATATACATGAGAAGTTCAGAAAACAAATCAGTGTTCTCTCAGGAAATATGTGAACGCGCTCTTTCACCATCACACCCTTTCTTTCATTGTTCCTCGTTTTGTCCGCCTCTCTTCTCGCCGTTTGAATTCTGCAGGTCTGATTTTCATTTCTGTTGTTTTGGGAGTGCGAGTAGGATCGTCAAGATCTAATTTTCCCCAATGAATTTTTCCGTTTTCTTTGCTTTCATAAATTCCGTTTAGATTTGAACGAATAGCACAGTCTTCCGGGAACCACCAGCTTTCCCCTACTTTTTCAGGACAGATGGAATGCTTTTGATCCCAGGTTCTAAACTTTGAGCCATTATGATCACGGAGAGAATCACTGACAGTCGCATCTGTTAAAAAAGTAAGATCCACTCATAAATTATTTGAAACTTTTGCGCAATTTTTGTCAAGATGAAAAAAAAAATGGGAAAAAAGATTTTTTAATCTCGAGAAGATAAGTGTGAAAAAAAAAGGGAAAAGAAAAATGTGAATCTGAGCATTGCGACATTGAGCTTTAATACTTGCATTACAGGTCAGATTTTCAGACCCTTTGCTGAGTCAGGGACTCGTTAAAGGAATACTACACGAAATCTATTCATTAGTGTAACACGCACATATACATGCGGTAATATGCTCACAAAGTGCTTAGTCTAGACGAAAACGTATACAAGAAAAAATAGTCGAGGTGATTTATTGTTAAAAAGCTTATATGAGGCTTACTTCGATAGTAACGACGGCTATAACTGAGCTCTTCAGTGTAGTCATTTTGTTGATACTCGATGGACCAAATTCATCTTCTTTACCCTCTGGCTTTGATTTCAAGACCGGGAAAACCAGTCAAGTCCCGAGAGTTAGAGATCTTAATCGTTTTGTCTGTCGACTGATAGGTACTACAATCATTTTCTTTTTCCCCAGAAAGTCGTATCCTTTTGCTTCACTGTTTCATTTATTGTCACGCAACGAAGCTACTTGTCATTAATTATTGCTTTTATTGACTTATTTGCCAAATTGCCAATGTTCAGCTGGTACTCAGCCGTTTCGTTCGCAATTCCAAACCATTTATATTCAGCGTAAACAATTGTTTTAGAATCGACCCCCAGATCCACTCTAAGCCTGTTGTTTTTATTCTTTTTAGTCAGCCGGAGGATCTTATCCAGTCCAAGCCAAAATTCACCATCGAGGAAACTTCCAAAACCATGTTTGTAGTCAGCCCAACTGCGGTTAAAATCAACGGAACCAGTTAGTCTTCTCTGGAACACTGTCCAGCCTCCACCGTCTGTTGTCTGGTCACAGTATACATCAAAGGCTTGTGAGTTGTCAGGTTTGATTGTATAAATACCATTGATTCTCTGACCAGATCTGTGCAGCTCAGCACAATTTTTAACTGTTGAATAAAAATACGAAAGTTTCGTCAACAAAGTTGCACGTAAATGAGCAGAATGGAAATAAAAAAGCCGAGGATCGTAGATGAGAAAGGAATCTGACTTCCGTCGACCACATCCTATGCCTCTGTGTGACGATTGTCTTTGAGTCAATTTTGATTTGCCTTAGTTTTAGTGCACAACCTCGCACATGTATGATTTGTCTACACAGCCTGCAACTGATGAAATTGATGCAGAGAAATCGAACTAGTGGTAATTTAGCTCTTCATCACTATGGTGTAAGAAGGTAATCTTACTTACATGTACACGCTGAAGATGAGATTAGAATCACCAACAGTATTGGCCCGAACAGCCAATTAGAAACTCTGAAAAGGGAATTCATCTTATATAATGTGAAGCTCTCTCTTGCTTTAAGCAACGAAAGGTTATAATATGTAACAGTGACGGACTGAAGAAACACCGTCATTTATAGTCTGGATTGGAATTGATTAGCTATTTAGGCCATTGCTGCAAAAGCTATTTTTGGGGGTGTACGAACTTAGTAAACATCACAACTCAGTGAAAGAGTATTCAGAATTGTCTGGGTCGACCACACACCTTTCCGTGGGCGACGCGCTTAGGTGGGGCAGAATTTGGGGCAGTGGCTTTCGCGAATTACCGGTAGGAAGAATGAAACATCTCACGAGAAAAATTTATCTCAATTTGATCCCTACAATCAATTAGCGTTTGAAACTCTGACCATAACCAAGAAGTTGTGCATTGTCGGTTATGTAATGTTTAAAAAACGAGCAGGAGTGTTTTATCGGGTTTAAAACCACGAGGCGTAGCCGAGTGGTTTTTGACCCAATAAAACACGTGCTGCGAGTTTTTTGAACGGCTTCAAAAACATTCTTGGAAAAGCGTGTGTCAAGAGAGTTCATAACAATTATGCTTTCGTGAACGTTAGAAATTAGCATACGAGAAAAACAGATTTCAGTTTCAGATGATGTATTGTCTAATTTGCCTTTACCAGATTACTGTACTAATGGAATAGAGAATTTTTCCAGATGTGTATTTCACAACTGTACTATTAATTTGGTGCAAAAGTAAATTTAAGAACATGATAACACTCTATACAAGTTGGGAATTTTTTTCCGAGGTCGTTTCCTCACACATAAACTAGACCTACAATTCATAAATATGTAGCAACTGCTTCACTCTTTCTTTTTATGAACATTATCCTTGAGCGCACGAGTAAACATATTTTCTTAAGTGTGCTATTAAGTTCATCAAAGTGCTACCCACGCGAAGATTACGTTTTTCATAGAGAATTTACATGAAATACTAAAGATCAGAAAGAGGAAATAAAGGTATTCTTTATTAAAGACCCTACTACTTATCGGCTTTTGTAGCCATCTTTAGATCAAAAGAAAAGTTGTGCAGAGTCGAACGCAGACTTCAGACAAAATTGTGTTATTTATCAAAACCATTACACATAAGGTTAGGACTTTTGCGTGCAAATGTCTTGTTACTGTCTGTTAATTTTCCGGAATAAATCAATTTGACCCGACTACAAAACGGAAGTGAATTAAAACCCTTAAAGTGCTCGTAATTCAATTAAAGACATAAAAAGGTCCAAAAGAGATGGAGAACATTATGGGGAAGTTCTTTATGACAGTGGTCGACCTCCGGGACATTTCAACATCAAAACAGCCCAACAAGAAGCTAGATAATTTCTCCCGCTAAAAATATCTTAGTTTTATTTTCTTGAAAAAAACAACAAAAAAACATACAAAAAAACCAATTTATGTGGCATGGCTTTGTGATTCGCGTGTAAGGGTAGTAATAATTGCTCCATTTTCGTTCCATGATAACACTCTATACAAGTTGGGAATTTTTTTCCGAGGTCGTTTCGTTTCACTTTCGTATGGGGTTGGGCATGATTTCCGCCGTTGTTTCTAGAGGAGGAACCGGAGTGTGGGCTCGAACAATACTAAATGACCCAGCTTATCATAGCAGGAATATTTCATCTTTTAGTCAGCAAGAATGATGACATCTTATGCTCGGCTCATCTTTCGTTACTTTCTTGCTTAACGGGAAAAAATACACCCAAAGGTTATATGGGAAGTAGTCTAAAGAGATCAAGTGTCTAATCCTGACATCAATGACCGTTTTTTATGCCTTAAGGGCAGAAGTCTGGAATGAAGTAACTTTGCAGAATTCAGAATGATGTCGCTCTTATTATGGTTGTTACTAAAGACTAAACGTTCTCCCGTCTGTTTTCTTCCTTTCGTAGTCTTAGTAAAATCGATGCTTGACATACAAAGAGATCCTACTTTTTTTAATAACCCTTTTGGTGGTCTTTAGTAGATATAAATCAGTCATTCGTTTACACTTGTGCGGTCAAGTGTGAACATCACTCGGTCAGTTACTCTCATATCTTTCTCTCAATATCACTCCGCAACTTGCCGTTATTGAAATATTATCTGGTTTGTTGCACAGACTTATACAGTCACTTGGAAATTTTACTCTGTCAGCTGTACACACTTCGTTTTAGTCAGCTGCAAAAATGAGCTAGTTTATACTTTATATTTTCTAAAATGTAGACATCACTCCAGTAGCTTGTTTTATCATATGACACGGAAACGGTCATAAGCCGTGTATTTTTGTTCACGAAAGCTAACAAACTACTTGCTAACCTATGACCAATAGTCCTTAGTACAGCCCTCACACTCGGTTAGTAAGAAGTTGGTATTGACTTATTCGATTGGTTGCTATCATAATACTCTTTCAGTTGTAATAAATAATTAGCTTGGTTACACTGTCTGTTGTAAAAAACAATTAGCTTGACTTTTCTGTCCGTTGTTTGCACTTATTTGGTCGGTTGTAATCTTGATAAGGCAATTTAGTATTACCAACTGAGTTGAGAACGTAAGTTGGCCACCGTTGACTTGAGAGTTTCAAAGATGACGTTTTGAGGGTAAGTACTTCGCCACAGAAAATGACGAAGGGCTAACGAAGGGCTAACGAAGGGCTAACGAAGGGCTAACGAAGGGCTAACGAAGGGCTAACGAAGGGCTAACGAAGGGCTAACGAAGGACTTACGCTCGAAGCGTAAGCTTTAAAACTCTTTGCAGTGGCCAATTTACGTTACCGACTCATTTGGTAACACAAAATTACCTTGTTTTATTCTCCCACCGACGCAGCAGCACAGTTTCTTTAGAAACTTACCCCCTGTAATCATGATACACTGTAAGTTGTAGGGACTTTTTCGGTCGCTTGTAAACATGATACCCAACCAGTTTATACCTTTACTCATTAACATCTGTCAGCACATTTCCCATATTGTTCTCTATTTATTTCCCAATAAAATGCTTAGGGCTAAGGTCATCTGTGATTCAGACAGATGATGTTGTGAGGAGAATTAAGATGCAAGTCACTCTTAGGGGTCAAAGGTGTAACGCACTGATTTGGTCGTTTGCAAAATTTATTCTGTCATTTGTGTGACTCATTTGATTTAGTGGGTTGTAAAAACTAACGCTTCAAACGCTTCTGGTCGTCTTCCCATAACTATATGCAGAGTTGTTTTATTCGTGTCAGACTGGATTTCCTTTTCTTTCTCCCAACAGAGAGGCGGTAGCCGCACCCCTCGCTTGCCAGTACAATTAGACCAGTGACTGACTCTCTGATTTTTGGAGGAGGCTCATGGATATGGACTTGCTGATCTGTGAGAGGCAAATAGGAAGTAGTTAAATAAAAAGTCAAAGAGACTAGCAGTGATTTTAATGGTTGAAGGCCCATGCTAACTAAAGGAAGCAAAAAGTGTCATCTAATTATGTGTAATTACTGTTATTTCTGTTTGAAGCCAATAGATTTTCAGGGGCTGGAGCATCAAATTGCGTGACGAGCCCTTTTCATATAAATGGGGAATCAGAGTTTTTGAAAACACCTTTAAAAGACGTCGATCCCACAAAAATGCACCAACTGCAAAAACAGATGCAGATACCACGAAAGCAATCGCAGTCAGCTGAAAAATTGACAATCCAGTCCTTCTTGCCAGTGTTCGTGATTCAGATTTCAGATCTGGAAAAAGAATATAATCAGCTTATAACAAAGCTATTAATTCTAAAAAACTTCAATTACTTTGCTTCTGTTCAGCTCTTTTTAAATCAGCAACTTCTGATCAGGAAATTCTGCCCATCTCAGGCACAGGGGACGTCCCTTCTGGCAATTTGATAAGTTTTCACAAGGACAGAGAGTTAAAAGACGCGTTTATATAGGGAAGTAACCATTGTGGTCAGACACAATAAACGTAATTAAGGCAGACTTTAGAAGTGCCTTAGACTATCGACGTTGCCGTCACAGTTGAGCCTATTTTCTTTTATACTTACTCTTAATGCATCTATTTGATCAAACTTTGTAGAATGTTGATGTCTGTGTCGAAACATTAGTTTAAATACATACAGCTAAGAAGGCAAGATAGTGACCTCTGTGTCACACAAAAGCTAAATCCATGATTTTATTACCTAAATCATTCACATGTAAGTTGACCTCGATTGATGCCTTTTCCCCTGCTATGTTACTTGCAGCACACTGATATTTGCCCCCATCCTCCTTCTTTACTGTTTCTATAAACAGTTGGTAATGAGTGTTTTGGTCACGTCGATCTCGAGTGATCATTGTCCTTGAAGTAGATTGGACATCATATGAATTGTCGTTCTTGATCCACCTGACGGTTGACTGAGGATGACCAGTGGTAATACAATTCAAAGTAACGTCAGAACCGATGACAACACTTATGTTCCACCGATCTTTAACAACTTGAGTTACAGTTTGAGTGCCTGATGGGTGGAAGTTGGTCCCTGGGGTGGATTGCGTTGAATGCCGATCATTGCCCCCTGTACATGAGATGCTTGGCATGGGATGACTCTTGGCGGTGCAGATAAAAGTTACACTAAAACCGACAACAGCGCTTTGGTTTGTGAGATCTTCCACATTTTGAATAGGTTGGAGGTCTGAGGAATGACAATGAGGCAATTATTGTTGCTATGATAGCTGCAGGTTCCCAAACTCTCTTGCAAATAGACTAGAAGGAAGGAAGACACGCCTAAGGAGTGGCTTAAGGCAATTAAATAGCTGGAAACGAGTCCTTCCTATTTCCAAAGGTAGTTGGTAAGTGACAAATCAGCAGTTATTTCTCATATTTTAAAGCAGGAACGATCCTAAGTTGTTGCTGTCATTAAATTTCCCTTTCAAGTCAATTTATGCCTTTCTCTTCAATTTTTTGTCTTTTCTTTTCATTTTGTACGGTGATTTTTTCTCCATCTCACTATACTAATATTCTGTTAGTCACTTCAGGTTGAAGGTAATTTTGTTTCATAACCTTCCTTTTGACGAGGAAAAGTTATAAAGCTTTTCGGATAAATCATCTGCACAGTTTTTAAGAA